AGTATTTCCTTTAATAATCTATATATTATAATAATTTCTTTTAGAAATATAAAGATTAGTATTTTTATAATTAATATTGTTTGATATAATATGAATATCAAGTACTTCGTTAGTTTATTTATTATAATAAAGAGGTAATTGTATATTACTTTTGTTATTGGATCTTTGGATTTTGATAATGGATTTATAAAATCTTATGATATTGATTTTTATAATATAGATAGTATTTCGATGATGTTTATTTATTTATAGAAAGTATGATAAAAAGTTTTATTCTTAATATAAATATTATATTCAATAATTACTTTATTGATTATATTATAGAATCCCGGATTCCAATATTGCTTTTTGATTCTTAAATATATTCTTTGTATTTCTTGATATTTATAAATTAGTAATATATATTATTCTATGATATATTCAAAAATGATACTATTTAATAACCAAATTTTATTTTTTATTCGAAACAATCTATTAATAATTATTAATAGTTCTGGTTATTTGATACCTTTTTTATTCTATTGTATTTTTATAAGTTTATTTTTTCAAACCTTTATTGATTTATTTTCTATAATAACAATTTCTATTAGATTAAGGATAAAATCTTTATTTAATAAAAATTTCAAAATCATTATCTTTTAATAGGTTTTATTATCTTTATAATCTGATAATTTATTTAAAATATCTGTTTTTGTATTATTCTTTCTTTTGATATATTTGATTATCAAATCAAACCCTGTTAATTTCTCAGTTTATTTAATTAATTTATGATTATTTAAGATCTTAATGATAATAAAGATTTGAAGATTTATATAATCAATATAAATAATTATTAGGAATTTAGCTTTTTAAAAATAAATTCTTTAATATTTTAATATTTTTATAATAATTATAAATTATTTTTTATAAATATTATAATTTTGTTTTGTTTTATTTATTTTATTTGAATAATAAGTAATAAAGTGTAATTTCCTATTATTATCTTTTTGTAAATAGATTTCTGTTATACAAATATCAGAGATATCTATTTTGATGATACTTTCTCGATTATTATAATAATTATAAAGAATAAGTTCTTTTGTAAATCTATTTTTGATTTCTTAGAAAGTTTATTTTATCTTTTTATTTTATATAAAAATTATTCCTTTTTTAATTATTTCGATAAAGGATTTTATTATTTTCAAAAAATCTTTTATAAATATTCGATAAAAATTAACAAATTCTAATATAGATTGTATATCCTTGATATTTCTAAATCATTTCTAATTCTTTATTTTTTTTGTTTTTTTAGAATTTATATTTATTTGTTCTGATTGAATGATATATCTTAGAAATATTATTTTTTGTATTTCAAATTTGTATTTCAATAATTTGAATCTTGAATCTATTTTTCTGAATGCTTTGAGTATTTTCAATATATATCCTTTATATTTCTTCTTTTTTTAAGAGAAGATTAGGATATCATTCAGATAACAGATTATAAATGAGTTGAACTTTTTGAGTATTTTATTGTTCTATTGTTGATATATAATCAATATATTAATTAAACTGAATAATATAATTATATATTTTTATAAATCTAATAATAAAATAAAGGTTATTTTTTATTTATAATTCTTTTTTATCTGTATTAGGTTGAAAACGTTTTTTTAATCTAATTTTGTGTAGATTATAACTTTATTCAATTTATTTTTAAGTTTCTAGGCTTTTGATATTGAATATATATCTTTGATTGTTTTATTGTTAATTCGATAATAATCTTTGTAAAACTGATTATTTGGGTTGTTTTTTTTAAATATTAATAATATATTGAATATATAAGAGGATTTGGATTTCCTAATCTATTCTTTTTTTTCAGTTTTAATTTTATATTCTTTTTATATCTGTATAGTATTAGAGTTGTATAATCTTAATTTCTTAGTAGGGGATACAAATCCCTTTTTAAAGTTGATTTTATAATCCCAAAACTTATATTCTAATAAAGCTTTTAAGTTTTATAGATCTTCAAAAAACTTGATGAATCTTTTATATTATACTAGAATTTCTTTTTCATTAATTCTATCGATCAATAAAGGATTTGTTATTATTATAATATAGTATCCAATCTCTTTAGAAATCTGTTTTTTCGAATTATATAATTATTCGTTATTGTAATTATAACAATCGAATGTTAAGGTATTTTTTATTTAATCGATATTTGGATTGTATTTCTTAATCCATAGGGTATTAAGGATAATTGTATATTTGTTTAATAATATTAAATCTATTTTGATCTGTTCGATATACCTATTTGATATAATTATCTTGATAACATTGATTTCTTTATATATCCAATTGTTAATTTTAGTTTTCTTTTTTTTTAGTAATATCAATTGATAAAGGTTCTATTTTAATTTTATAAGAATTTTATTTTTTTTAACGAAATTAGGATCTATGAATATATTTATAATTCCGAAATCAATTAAGGTATTTGTTTATTGATTCTTTAATTTGATTTCTATAATCAATTATCCGATCCTTATAATATTATTGAGTTCTAACAATAATGATTCGATAATTTGTTTTCTAATAAAAAGATTCAATTATTTCTATTGGTATTCGTTTATACTCAATAATCGATAAAATGTAATAAGCAATAATTCTATTAATTTTGTTTGAAAATCTCGATAATAATCCTGATTTGATACTTCTCTATTATCTTTATTGATTTTTTGTTAGATATAATGAATTCTAATTTATAGTAGGATTTCCTATATCTCTTCAATTTCTAGATTATATTTATTATATTCTTATACTTCATCGAAAGATGAAGAATTTATATCTATAATATATCTTTTGATATTATTTATCTCAATATTTTCTTTAAATATTATATAATAAATATTATTATATATTATTATATAGAATATTAATAAAATAAAATAATTATAAATTCTATATTTCTTGATGAAATTAAATTTCTTTTCCTTATGATAATATTATATCTGTTTTTCATTTAGATAATTGATTAGATACCATAACTCATTTTTCTAAGATAGATAATAAAATTCAATTAATTATTGATTCTTTTTAAATTCTTCATCTTTTAATTTGAAATCTTTTAAAGGTTCTTCTTTGTAATTAATACTATTCTCAATATTAGTTCTAAAATTTTGATTATTGATATTTAATTTCTTTAATTGTTTAGAATTAGATTAAGATAATTCTTTTTCCAATAATCCCATTTCCTTCGAACTTCTTTTCAAGATTTTTGTTTCTTAAAAACTTTATCTTTTGTTCTCAAATTTTATTTGTTTTTTGTTTCTTGTAATAAATAATCTTTTTTTTTAAAAACAATTTTGAGATATATATTCGCTTTTTTTATAAATATAGTATAAATTATTCTTTCTATATCTTTTCTTTTTATTAGTATTTAAATTGCTTAACTTTATATAATATTATTCGATATCATTCAATTCTATTGAATCATCAATATTATAATATCTGTTTTGACAATAAGGTTTTTGAAACTTCCTGTTCTCCTGAATGATTCCTTTTTTCTTTATTCGTTGTTTATAGAATCGATTGTCAATAAGAATAAAGATTTCAATTAATTCAGAAAGGTTCGGTGATTTCGGAGTTTTCGTTAATTTATCTTTGATGATATCCTTTAATCCTTTATAAAATTATGATTTTAAATAATTATTATTCTATATAATATATTCGATGTATTATTGAAACTTAGTAGTATAGATTATAACTGATTCGATTTGTTTAAATTGTTACAATGCTTTTTCAATTATATAATTAGAATCTATTTCCTTGAATATTCTATCAAATCCTTATCTAAACGATTTATAATTGAAGAAGAAATAATGAGTTTTAGATTTTATACTCTTGTTTAGTTGATTATCGATAGTCTTGATTATTAAATCATTGAAAAATAGTTCAATCCAATTAAATATAATTCTATAGAAAAAGGAGATCAACTACAAGATCCTTTATATAAAAATCAAGAAAAGTTATTTATTAAAGATATAATAAAGATCAACTTGTACAACAAAAGTTCAATATTTGTTATAATCTTTATAGAATAAATTAAAGATGAATATCTGAATCGTTTATTTATATTCTATAATAGTAATGGCCTGAATAAAGATTTCGATTGAATTGAATAAAAACGATTCGGTAAATTATTGATTAGAAGTTATTGTACTGTATATAACTTAACCATAACAGTACTCAAAATGTAATAATCTAATTGAAGTAATAATTACCTCAAGTTTTTGTTTAGTTGATAATTATAAATTAAAGCTAATAATCATTGATTATCCATTTGAAAATGAATATATTATTAGATCAATTGAAATATAAATAAACTAATTGATAATTAAGTTAAGTATAAAGTTTTTAAATTATAAAACTATTTTGATTATATACTAATGAATATAAAAAAGCTTTATAGAATTTTAAAACTTCAAAAAGCTCCTGGAATTCTAAGAGCTTTCAAAGCTTTCAAAACTCCTTATTACATAATTAAAATCAGATTATATATTCGAGTTTGTTAAAGATGAAAAGACTATATAAAACAATTATTATACAAATTTGTATACAAATCGTCTTGCTTTTCGATAAGGCCTAAGCTTATATAGATACATTGACTGTTGCCCCTCAATATATCCTTATCTTAATTGTAAATCGTGACATGTATAAGTATTTTGTATATATATAAAGATACTTTTTATAAATTATAATTTCTCAATTGTAAATTCTAAGAAATATAATTAACTTTGTTTATTTAACTCTTATAAGACTTTTATATATTATAGTTATAAAGCTTATATCAAGCTTTTTGTTAGATTATTTACCGGGGTATTTACTGGGGTATTTTAGACCAATCAGATTGTCAGGATCGTGATTCACTTAAGTGAGTTTCTTATTTTCCATGACTTAAATTGTAGTACGCTACTGTTACAAGGTAACAGTCAACGTGTCCACATGAGCTTAGGCCTCATCGAAAAGCAAGGCAATTTGTATACAATTTTGTATAGTAATCGTCTCACCCTCAGCAAGCTTGAACATATAGTCTTATCCTAGTCACGTGATGGATCATGAGGATCTAGGAAATCGTATTCTAGATCCACTAGATCCTTATAATCCAATCGATACAAAGATCTATATAATTAGGAAAGGATTCTTTTTGTAAAGCTTTGTATTCAAGATTAATCATTTAGTATATCTTATTATTAGTTACGAATTGTAATTATTGATATTATTTTAAAGCCTCTACTTGACGTCTAGTTATAAACCATTCGAGGATCCAAGCCACTTCCACGTGATCTAGATCGCATCCCTCGTAACAGCTACGCGTACAGCAAGGTTTTGGTATCGGCAAGCCGACAATAATTGACTTTGTTTATTTAGTTCTTATATTATATATCACAAACACTAAAACTAAATAATTACAATTTAATTATCAAATTTAATATTATTTATATTGATATTTTATTATATATTATTTTTCAATTTGAATAAAAACACTATTTTATAATTAATAAACTTTTTTAATTTCTTGTTTTTTAAAGTGTCTTTTATTGAATTGACTTTTTAATTGTTAAGTGATTAGATAAGCACGGCAATCATGAGCAACGCTTCCGAACGCAATATACACCAACCTCTGCAACTCAAAAATTTTCACAGATCAATGCTCTCTTCAAACAGTCCAGCTTCTTACAGAGGCTTTCATCAGCAGGTGGCAGTTGAAGAAGACCTAAGGCATCATAATCATCGTCAAAATTCACCACAAATGCACACACAAAACTCTCCACAGCCAAATTCTGAGCAGCAGCAGTTTGAGCAGAACGCACAACACGTGCAAATGCGACCAAGCCAACGACCACTGCTATCCCCAACCCTTAAATATTCATATGGAAATCAATTCCCGTCTCATACGGAGAACGATAATAGAAGTTCTACACCACAACCCTCAGGCTTTCTTCAGAATGGGAGTGCATCGAGACCGCAACGTTCTGCTTCGGGCCCATCAAATATGAGTTATTCCTTGCAAACTTTCTATGGCCAACATGGAGAGGAGTTATCGCCACATGAAGTTGATGGAAATGTCAGTCAGGTGGTTATCAGATCTCCAACTGCACGTCGTCGTGGACGCCCACCGAAGAATCTTTCAGGCATTTCATCTCACAAACCTGAAAAACCGGCGATACCAAGAAAACGTGGCAGACCCCCTAAAGATTATACGGCGCCAGTTAGCATCGCAGACTCGGAGCCATTGACGGCAAAATGTCAGAAGCCCGCAAACAGCAAGAAGCCCAATTCCCAATCAGATGACAACCCACCAAAGAGACGAGGCCGCCCCCCTAAGCGGCCTTCTCCGGAAGTAGAAATACCGCTTCCTAACCCACCTTTTCAAATTTATGGTTGCGAATGGGACAAGTGTCCTGCTAAATTACACAATTTGGATACTTTGAGAATGCATCTTTCCAAAGTTCATGGCAAGAGGGAGGATGACATGTTTAATTGTCTGTGGAAAGGTTGCACCAAGGTACAAACTCCCAACGACGGATCTATGTTGTCATCAGAATCAACAAATACCACAAAATATAGATTCGAAAATGAAAATGATTGGAAAAGACACGTCGAGAAAAAGCACGTCATCCGTTTTGCTTGGCACATGGGAGATGGACCTAGAAATTCATTAGGTACTACACATTATTTTGATATCAATGCCATATATAATGGCTGCCCAGCTCTACGCAAATTTGAAATGTTTTACTGACATTCTTGTCTTAGATGGTCCCCAGAAACATAATGCATCGGCTCTTCCGGCATATCTGTTTGATAAAAACGGCGTTCAGGTCACCCCCTCAGTTAAAGATCAGCAAATCGAATATGGAGACCCCAAGGAGACTAGTGCCCAAAGATTCAAGAGAACTATCAGTGGTCTCGATTTTGTTTTGAATCCTATCTATAACTCGAATTATGCGACTCCAATTCAAAGCGTAGCAAAGGATGGTGGAGAAAACGACGAGGTCCATAGCAGTAATGAAGGTAAAGATGATGGAAACGATACGAACATGGAGGACATTGAGGACATTGATGCGGACTTTTGAAAATTTGGAGAAGTCACCAAAGCTGCTTGCGGTCATCCGAGTATTTCATTCTCAGTTGTTACGATATCAGCGAGCATCTAGAAGATTGAAGCTCATTGATTATCTGGAAATCAATGCAGGTTTTGGGACCGCGCTTACTCGTTTTATTAATGTGAGCTAGGGCAGCTCTTTCGCTTTGCACAAACATTTTGAAAGGGTCTTGGAACTATTACATAGCATGATTATTCAAAGGGACAAATTCCTATTTTCTTCAACATGTACTGAACGGCAAAACTTCGGCACATCCCGCTGCTTGCCTTTTTGGTGATATTTTCCACCACAGCACGGAACATCAATGAATACAATGTTAGTGAGGAGTAAACCGCAGTAGTAGTGTCGGTGATAATTCTGCTTTATTTTCTCATTATACGTATACTTCTCTCCATCTTACCCTTTGTTCGTCGAGCTCCAATTCATCCAAAGACCTTCACAATGTATTCCGCAAAGAGAATCTCAAGCGAGATTCTTTGTGTTGAAATTGATGAAATCGTTTCTTCTGATTAACTATTGCATTTATCTTTGGATGAATGTCGATTCAGCTATCTTTTACTTTCACGACAACTGAGCTCTCGACGTACCATAGCTCTCGAATCAATGAAGTTGCTTGAATTTACTAAATAGCTTCTATTCATATCCGCTTTAAAACCAAGAGTATACTCACCGGAACCTACAAAAATGGCCGGTGAAACCGCGTTCCCACGAGGCAGAACAGCAAGCATGTCATCCCAAAAATCTGCATCTCCCGTCAATCGCACATTTCTCAAATCCTCCCTCAAAAAACCCTCCGATCCCTCCGTGAAAGATTCCTCATCGAACCCACCCACCCCTCAATCCTCCCAACATGAATCCTTCTCCCAAAAAATCCGACCCAAATCCTTCCCCCTATCAAATATCAAAGCCCCAGTCTGGCTTTCCAATTTCCGGGCTTCCAAAACCGGAGCTTACGCGCTCCAATTTTTGGATATATCCCGAAGATGGTTTTTACGACATGTTTTTAAATTCTTCCTTGCAGCTCTCGTTTATACCGGCCTAATATTCTTAATTGCAAAAGATAATGCAATAACCAGTCGAAATAATCTGACATACATATCCGATTTGTTGAAGGTAGCAGGCGGATTCCCCGAAACGCTTGACGAGGGATATTTAGTCGACAATATCCCTCCTGCATTTCAAAAAGCTGGAACGGTTTTGAGAGATTTTTATAATGAACGTATTGAGAATGATGATCCGTTTGCTTGGCCAGTGCATGCTTTACTGGCGGAAGTAGAAGCCATTGATTTTGGCTGGGAATCCTTTAGAGAATCCAGAGATGAGGCGGTTACAAGTATCAAGGAACAAGTAAAATCATCGCGCTTGGTATTTCAGGACGAATTGAAAAGATTGAGAGGAGTAGGAGCAAAGAACAGAAACAGAACGTCGTGGAAAAGACTGGGAAAAAAATTATTGTTGGATGATCCCTATGAGTCGAGGGCACATTTCGACGCAAAGAATTTTGCCAATATCACGGGTAGTATCCAGAATTACATATCCACATGGCGGGCAACTTCAATCCCGCAATTGAGCTACAGACTTACATCCACGAAAAGAGGACCCACGGGAGGATTACCCGGCAAAATGAATGAAGTCCGGAAAAAATGGCCAAAGATAGATTGGAGAAACTGGAAATTTTTCCGTCCGCCGGTAGATAAACTGGAAGAGGTGAGGGAAGAAGCTATCAGTATTTTGAAGAGAGTGGATGGGATGTATGGGGGATTTTTGTCGGTAATTCATTTGTTAGATTTAGCTGCGGACAAGGAAAAGCGGAGAGGATTTGGGGAGGAGCATTTAGAGGAGTTGTTGGGAGTGTTTGATGAGACATTTCGGAGGTTGCAACAGGCAGAGTGGGACAATTTTGAGAGGTCTATTGCTCGAACTTATCCTTTGTGAGGGTTCAGTTGTACCACTGTTGGTATCAATACAAAGGAGAAGGGCTGCTTGCCGTGTATGGGTACCATTTTCATCTAAATCGTGGGAGATAATTTTTTTAAAGTCATATAAAGTTGCATCAATTTGAACGATACTTTACTACCGGTAACTGCAAAGCTAGCAAAACCATGAGCTTTTGAAGACTTTAATGTTATGCCTGGGGTCTTACTTCACTAAATCTCTCCAATAAGTAATTGTTAATGATGGTGGAGTGTTCTGGACTAATAAGACGTAATAATTATTCGACATTCAGCTTCCATGTCACAATAGAAGGTCGTAGTAAGTTCAAGCCACATCACCAAATGCATAGAGACAGCATGTAACTCTTGAAGTATTTGATTATTATCGGCGGATTTCTCGAGTAACTTGGAATTTTCGTTGATAAATCTCCGTGATCTTATTCAAGGACAAAATGCTATTTACAAATGTGGTTCTCAACCCGGAATCCCAATCAAAGACAAAAGGTAACATGTAGGTACTAGCAGCCTCCTGAAGAAGCGACTATATTTGCACATGATTAAATTTCTCAAGATTCGCCCGCGTCACAATCTGTTAAGTCTGCATCTGTTGCAAGCCATAATTTCGCACTGACGACACGCCCAAATGAACCGATTCAGAGTTTCATGACAAGTTTCGCATTGGTGAGTTCCTTGTATCTTGCGCCATATTCCGTGCTCACATGCGTGATTTTCGCGGAGATGTTGCGCAGCTACCGCAATTTGAGCATTAGATGCAGATCCTTGTCCGATGGCCTGATAAGGACGCTCGAGTAGTTGATGACCAGGTCTGCGGTTGACGATTTCAGTTGCACGGGCTAATAGCTGATCTTCGTGCCACTGTGGACATCTACAGGTTTTCCATTTCAGTCCACAGGTGTAACAGAACGTGGCGCCGCATCGACATCTATATTTTAGTGCATCAGCTTACATTTACGGGACCATGAGATAGTACAAGGAAAGAGAGACTGACTTCATGTGATTGCATCCATGTTGAAGCTCTACCATGCCCCAGCAAGAATAACATCTTTGCCAACCCATGTCTCTAGCAAGGTCCAAAACCTCCTGTAAGGCTGTGTCATTCGAGCAATCTCCGAGATGTGCCTCCAGCTTACACAAAGTGTGAGTCTGCGTGCCACAATCATCACAGATAGCTATTTTGTTGATGATTTTTGACGGATGGATGAAAGCTGAGCAAGGCTTGGTGCAGCAATAAATTCTGTTTGGTGTCTCAAACTCGATTTTCTTCTTTTCAAAGGCACTTACGATATCAATTGTGAGGAAAAGGCGTACACTGGCGACAGTAATGGGTTCGTTGCAGCAGCGGGGAGGAAAGAGTGATTCATCACTCATGGATAAGTGGAAAAGGTGCTCAAGGCAGGTGCGACAATATTCGTGACGGCATGAACCAGGAACTCGGGCTGCATCGCAGAAGTTGATCTCATCGCGGCAAATAACACATGTTGTTGATGTTGTCCTGGAACATACGGATCGAGAAGCTGCCCAAGTAGAGGATTCTACAAGTGAATCAGCTACTGAGCCACCATCTGTTTCATCCAACTCTGCTGCATTGTCATCTTTCGAGTCGACCCCAGACATGTACAATATTTGAAGTTTTTGCAAGACCTCTTCATTCAAGATCTGTGTATGCGGTGGAGTAATCGTGGAAGGCTCTGGTGTAATATCCGCTAGGTGAGGATCCCGATATAATTGCAGGGCCATCGCGTGGTCTCTGGCAGAACTGTCATTGCGTGATACAGTCTCAGTCAAAACATCTCCGTCAGCTTGTACGGCTAGTGCAATACTTCTCGTCATCCGCTGATCAGACAGAAACAAAGCAGTCCTTTCTAATTCCTCCTTTTGAAGGCTGAACGCAACAGAAATATCGGATACACCATCGGCGCGACCTTTACCCTTGGAAGATGAGTACTCGATATCTTCAAGCTGAAGCTGGATAATCAATTTCAAGGACTCATCATCAATACCCTCAAAGCAATAATTGCCAGGGAGTATGTAGTACATCTTGGATACGCCGGATGCAGCCACAGAGTTTGTGGTCGATAGCTGAAAGTTGATAATTGGATTGTGGTTGAGAAGTGCGTAAAACAACCCAAAGCGGTCAAGAGCTGGCACAACAATGAATTTCTGATTTTAATTGGTCGGCAAAAAAGATAATTGACTCGCAGTGAATGAACTCAGTGGATGTATTCATTAGATTATCTTGGCGGTCCATATGAAGTCCTTGCGACATCCGACATAGACAATGTTGTTCATTTCAATAAAGATACCACAGTAGTCAGAGATGCTTCATTAATAGGAAGGGTGTGTCGAATAAATGAACGTATATGTAGTTAAGTTGCGATTATGATGTATACATGTTAGGGTGGGAAAGGTTGTAACGTATGAGAAACCGATCATATGGGGATGGAATTTTAGCTGGTGTGGTTGTGGAAGCCGTCTAAGAGCTTTGCCCGCCTCAATGTAGGATCCCAAAAGCGAGATGTCAGTTCGTTGAAAGTTGTACTTTGCACCGAAAGGAATGTTGAAATTGGAAAGAACTGCTATGGGAAGCCCACATCGATCCTCTTGGTATCATCGAAGGCCCGGTAGTCCCACTACCTAGCCTACATGCGAGAGTTCAGACCTTTTCGTTGGATTGAAGAAATAATGACGTTTCTACAGACATCCGCGCTAAGTCCGGCAATTGAATAATCAGCAGCAGAGATAGCAGATATCCATCCTTCTCTGCATTTCAAGACTCAAACTTCTCCTGGTAGTTATGAATTCTTCGTCGTCTCCAAGGCCTTGGGTCTTCTCGTACAGTGCTTCTCGCCAGTGACGTCTAACTATACGAACATTTATACAGTTAAGAATCAAGATAGACGAAGTAATGATCAGGACGAGGGAAATAGAGAGGAGAATGATCTGGTCAACGGGTGTCAAGTTTCCAGACTGCTTGAAACAAATAGGAGGGGCCAGAATAGGAGCCATTTTGCCTTATTTAGGTGATGGTTGGATGTCGATTTAAATAAATGAAATTTTGTTTTAATGGCCGTGTGTAGTTTGCTTGTAATAGTCCGGATAGAGACGTGCGATGTTACGATATGTGCTACTGGGAATTTTGAGATGTACCCAAGTTTTGTGGCAAGGGTAGATAGTTCCAGTTTAAATGGAAATGATTCGAGAGACTATGAGATGTGAGATGTGTGTAATTGAAATATTGTAACAATTGAATTGTGCAAAAACTAAGAGCAAACGAAAAAGTTCTTGGGGGGGTTTAGAGCAGAGATGTAGCCATATCTGAAATCGACAGAAAACTAGGCGTGAACTCTATTCTGTAGCCATACCTATCCTGGAGAAAGCGCTTTCTCCCAGGACTAAAGTCTCTTTCTAGGTAACTTCAACAGAACTTGAAAGCTTTGGATTACAAAACCTCATAGCCTGCCGTTACACCCACGAAGATGCCTTGCATGCATGTGTGTTTATACTGTTGTTTGAGCATATCATGTCTTGGTGATGATCGTGAACTCGAATGCTTGAAAAGAGAGTAAAACGACACTAACTTATACCTTAACAGTGGCTGCATTGTGATGACCATTTTGCAGACACAATTATCAACATAATTGAAGTGGCGGGAAGATGAAGAGGAATATATACACACATATATATATATATTTATGTAGAGAGAAAGGAGAGAGAGACGAAAGACATTGAAAAGTTACCTTACCGCACGAGCCAACACACCGCCACGAATTGAGGGGTGAATTTCAGCCTCGCCTGCTTGCCCAATTGATTTAGCTTCATGTCTCAAAACCCCAGCTCATCCCAGTTCCAGTATTGGTTGGTTGATTCGAGCCAGCGAGGACAATACTGATACAGTTCTTAGGTATATTTATTTGAGATACTGGCCTCACTCTTCAATTTCATACTTTGAATTTCTTTAAGATGTCCTCACAAATAGAAATCATTTCTGCCTTTGTGGAAGGAGCCCCACCAGGAGAGGTATGTTCTCCCCTTTGGTACGAACCCGACTTTATTAACTAACATTCCTGGAAAGCTTGCAGATGTCATTGCCGGTACGGAACTCTCGAATGCTTTTCTTCTTTGCAAAAGATTCAACATAATACTAAATACGGGAATTCCTAGATATCAAGGCTTTAACCATCGACACACCACATCTGGTCTCGGAACTCGGTCCTGCGTTCGAGAGATATAATGAGGAACAGTTTACTACAGTCAAACTCCCTGGTAGCAGTCAAAATGTTGGTTACAATGGCAGATTAGCACCATATGAAGGATCGCTGACGGGTTTACGAAGGTTATAATCAGTTCACATAACTCTTTGGGAGACGGAAGATATTATGATGTCGAGAGTTCCTCCAGTTTTGCTTTCGACCATACCAACCAGGTATATATTCTGTTTATTCCATCTGCTGGATTCGGACTGACAATTGGCTATAGAAAGCGAGTGCTGTGCAAAGCCATATCTTAGAAGGCAGTCAAGCAGACCTTGTGTAAGTGCTCTGAAGGTAGTATGATTTATGTTCTAACACAAAATAGCAAGTCAATCCTAAAGAGCTTGGGTCCGCATGTAGCAGAACATTTTCCAAATGCATCGTATGGCGCTTTTCCTATCGAAAATGATTCGAAAGTTGCGATACTTGTTGTTGCCAACAAATACAGTCCAAACAACTTCTGGTACACATATCTGCATCACACTCATGAATATGTTTGATATCTAACATCAAGAAGGAACGGCCGCTGGCGATCGTTGTATATCTATGATACTTTATCCTCCTCTCTCACTGGCAGCATCAAAGTCGATGTTCACTACTACGAAGATGGCAATGTTCGACTTCTAACTACTAAGCCCATCTCAGCAACCTCATTGTCATCAGCCAGCAGTATCGTTCGAGAAATCGCCGCCGCGGAAAAGAATTACCAGGAAGAGATCAATAAAGGATTCAATAATTTGAGTGAGGGTGCATTCAAGGGGTTACGAAGACAATTGCCCATTACAAGACAGAAGATTGAATGGGACAAGATTGCGGGGTATAGATTGGGACAGGATATTGGTGGTGGAAGTTCGAGACGATAGATATGATTAGGAGGGAGATAAAGAAGCCAGGTTGCGGTCAACTGAATATGGTCTGATTGTTGAGAAGAGCATGAGATGAAAATTTTAAATGGAAATTTCCTGGTTGGGACATGAGGCTGTAGAAAAGGATTTGTGTTGGTCTCAGTACATTACGGATTCACGACCTAGCGGACTCCACCATCCATAAGGATACCACCTAAACAGCTGTGAGGATCAGACAAATCAATACATATATCTAAAACTGTATTCAAAGTTTAACACTGCACTCGAAGTTGCGTGGATTTTATGGCTTAAATTTTATTTCCGAATTTCCGAAATCCCTAAAATAATCAAAGTGTTGCCAAGGGTTCATCTTTATCAAAATATATATTGTACCCAGTTAGAAGTACGCGGTATTTCGGTATATTTCCAAAATCCAGTATGCTTATGACAAAATTAACCCAAAGAGGAAATTATTTCGGTATTCTCAGTTTTCCGGTATATACTCCGTACAGAGGACGGCTGTCGACCTTCCCTTCACACGGAATTCCAGAGCATTCTTCCAACCCCGAATTCATACATGTTAAAGTTTCTCACTCTCAGTCTCACTTACTCACGTCACCAATCATTGACTTCAATTTCTCATCCCATCCTCCCGCACCGTAACAAAAATCCACCCATCCCCTCACTCTGCGGAAACGGATATAAGCCTTTCCAACCAATAATCTACGGCGAAATAAATGCTGAGCAATCTTTAATCAAAGATTGCTTAGCGTGCTAGGTTTGGCATAGATTTAAGCTCGGCCACCGAGCTTAATAAGTTAAACAGCCTGCCTGTGCTGTGATTTTATCATTAGTTGTTATCTCTATTTTTGTGAATCGTTGAAGCAACCACAACTCCCAAATCAATACTTACCGTACCACCCGATAATAATTTCTTGTGCTTCATACGGTTACTGAGAAGAGATAGGTACCTGTCTTTATTTACAATAAGAATCTACGAACCAATCTCTTGGCCGAAGGATCTGAGAATCTTACCCTTACGAACACGATATACTTTGCGGATACAAATTCCTAAAGAAGATAATATAGTGGGCTTTCGATACATATACAAGAAAGATGTCTGAGACGAAGGAATATACATATGCTGAGGCGGCGGAACATAAGACGAAGAAGGATTTGTTTATGGTTATTCATGATAATATTTATAACGTTTCGTCTTTTGTTGATGAACATCCGTAAGTCTAGGGCTTTTTTTTTGTTTTGGATTTATTCTCAACGAGGGTGGGATTCGAGAGGGCATTGCTGTGAGATTATGAATAGGGGATGAATTGGAGATCGGTGGATTGTGTCCATGGAGGGAATATTGTTGAGGATAAATATTTATCTCTCATTGCACTATATGTGCCTGGAAATCTCGTCCTGATATGGCCTTTTATCTGCCTTCGCTGTGCAGCTCTTTCGGCACTCCATTATCATTGCAAAACTTCATTCAGTGACCATCAGGCCAGATTGCTAATTCACATATTTTAAATAGTGGTGGAGAAGAAGTCCTCCTCGATGTCGGAGGACATGACGCAACCGAAGCATTCGAGGATGTTGGACACAGTGACGAAGCACGAGAAATCCTTAAAGGTTTACAAATTGGTACTTTGAAGCGCGTGGTACGTTCCTACATCCATTTATCAACATATATATACCCTAGATTTCTTCTAATTCATCTCCTTTTCCTTCACCATATAAATCTCCCGTCCATTCTTGCACATTTTGTAGAAGCTGAAGCTAACAAACCGCCTCCTATGCAGGCTGGCGATCCGGCACCAAAACCCCGAACCACAACCGCCTCTCCATCCTCATCCCAAGACGAGACTGGAACGGGTATCGGTCTCTACGCTGTCATTCTCATCGGTGGACTTGCAGCTTTCGGTGCTTACAAGTATATGTTAGCTCAAGAAGGTGCCGTTCAAGCATAGATATTCGCTTCGCGAGTTTAAGAATTATGGAAGTGCGGTTGAATAAGGAGAAAAGGCATGATATTTTGAGAATATTAGAGTAGAGATGCGATGGAATTTGGTGAGACGAGGGATTTGTAATTTGATATGAACGACATGCATTCATACAGAAAGTTAGCGTGGCGTATTCAACATATTGGAATTTACTCTTCCGGTGGTGCTGATTTAGTTGGTCTGGTTTGAGAAGATTTCAAGACGTAACTACTTCGTTTTCTCTTGCGTGCTTAGCGAGACAGAATGTTAGGAATGGATAGTTCATAATAGATGGTTCATTTTCTTCCTCATATAAGATTAATGTCTTTTTGTCACGTTCTCACTGCTATGGCTGAGCGCGGCACTATATGTTCACTCTTGCTATATATTTGACTTTGATAGCACATTCATCATATGCATGTAACAGTTTTGTTGTGCACTCACTAAACCTCATAACCTTATGCCCAAATGCTCATTTGGGTTCCATTATTTTACATTACGTTACGTTACATTATAGTATAGGTAGGTAGGTGGGTGGGTCATGTTATCTTGGTAGATTCTGGTGATTCTACGGAGTAGACTCGAATTGCCCAAGGAAACATACTGCATGGATGAAGTCAGATGCGTCTTTTGAGATCACAAGTATCGTCTCTACTGCTTTTCTTTGATATCTGATCACTCTGTTCTCGGGTAAACTTTATATATGGTGATGAGAATTTTGGACGAGAATCATTTACATTTGATTAGCAATTAACAATTGATGAGTGGTGGTGCTAATTCCAGAATGCTATATGATTCAATGGTATATCATCGCTTGCTTGCTGTACTATTTGCAATTGGGTATTCGGTGCCTCATATCTGTTTCGACACATTCGTGATAGGGGCAGGGTATCTCTCTTTGAATATCTGTTTTTCTCCGCCGGTCTCTTGTGCCGCATCATCATTCCACTCATTGGGTTTCTGTGTCTCCTTCGAGCCATGGATATCACCCAATTATCCCGCAACTCCATACACCACAATTCACAATTCGCAATCGAACAGCCACAAAATCTTAAGCATACATCCCATCATCCCCATCACTCTCCTCCTCTACCTCCGTCTTTCTCCTTTCCTCCTCCCTCCTCCTCTCAGCCTCCTCTCCCTCCTGTCTAAACCCAAACTCCTCCACTCCTCTCCTCATCCTCTCCCTCTCCATCTCCGCCTCCTTCGCCCTATCCTCCCCATCCCCAACCTTCTTTCGATCCAATGGACACGTCCCATTAAGTCTTAACCAAGGTCCTACACATTCTAAATCAAACTTATGTGCTGGATGACATGGTAATACCACAACTAAACAATATTGATCATCGAGGAATTTTTCTCCACAGATCGGGCATGTTTCATCTGGTTTTAGGGAGGACCGAGGAACACGGTCGATGGTATCGAGGTAGGCTTGTGAACAACCTGATATGGTAGTTGGTGGGTCATCAATTTGAGAAGTTATGGAGTTGATGAGGATATCGAGGAGAGATGCTGTTGAAGAGGAGGGGTCGTTTGTCCGGAGAGTCAGGAATTGATCTTGAAGGAGGCGGTAGGAAGCTGCTACGTCAACCTGTAATATTTTGATTAGCTTTCTTTCTGATTGCAAAGCAATTACAAAGGTATATAGATGGACTTGAGAAGGAGAACATACGGGAGTAGGAACAGCATGCGGATTATTGTGATGCCAGCTGGGATCGGTGGTAGAGGTGGATGTTTCAATCTGAGATAGTTGGTTGAAGAAAGAGGACATAGAAGGCCGGCGACGAGGTCTAGCGGATTGGGACGTAGGTTTTATGTTGTGTTCGACTACAGAATCAAGGTATGTTAATAGAAGCTCATCGTGGAACTTGAACGCGGGGCAGAGCGCGGGGGTGGAAAGTCCTACCTTCATAGGGATTCATTTTGGCGGTAATTTTGGTGTTTTGATGTTTCGTTATGTCGTTTGTAGATTGCAGTGGCAACGACTAGAGCTTTAAAATGTGCCGAACAGATTTGGAAATGAGGGTGCCCGGGAAGGGTAGTTATGGATGAGGAGAGGTAGGCAGAGGACGAGACGCAAGCCTTTTCGCTTAAAGCGAGGCTAGGATGCAAGGCTACCTACCTCCTTTTACCGCTGGAGAATAACATAAGATGTTTGTGTATTTGTCTAAGAAATTTTTATGCAATGGCTTTAAATCGATCCGAATATTTTAATCCATCTTGATGACATTTTGATTTCCAGCAGATGAAGACACTTGACCTGAGTGTGCTCACTTTATTCATAACCCTTCATTACTTTTTACCAGCGGTCAAGGTTTGATCAGCTACATCTCAGAACGAATCATCTCAAAGCACGTTGGAAAGACATGAGTGAATCTTCTTGGTTTTCTAGGGATGGACACATGAAACTGTAAGGTCGGAGCTAGGCTCTGATTATCTGATGTTCTTTGAGATGTGGTCCCTGGAGCCTGTCTTGTACATGTTGATTGAGGTTGACTTCTTTTGACAAATATGCTTATAAACACGTACAGGGTTAGTCAAGTTGCAACCTTAAGGTACTATTTTCTAAATTGCATTATTGAACAGTATGTTGTCTGCGGAGGGTCATTAATCCTTCGTCGTCTCAACCAAATGCAATAGGTTGCCAGGAGGTAATGTAGAATGGAGGAGCCCATTTGGCATCTTGTTGTTTGCAAGTACCTGCATCCCATGCCTTCGAGACAAACATGCTCGAAGGATTCTTCAACTTTATATCAATACTACTCCTGAACAAGCTCGAAATCAAATTCTCGGTCCGTAACGACATCCCCACATATTGCTTGATATTGTGGCTGGGCAAATCCCAAAAGTCCGAGTTAAGGACCCTGAAGCCCGATACTCGGACTCGCAATGCCGCTTTTCGGAAGAAGTTTCTCGCATTTGCCCAATAAGAGTTGGATTTGGCTCTCTGTTCAATATTTGGTACTGCATGATTACGCGAGAAAGCGCAAACTTCAGTTCGAAATTCATATCACCGCCCCTTTTGTCAAGCATGTAAAATCAGTGATGCCTATCACAGATCTGAAAGTATGCATTTAAACGAAAGTGACCAACAGGATAAAGGAGGCGATCGTGAAAAGCTTGATTTGGATCTACAACTAACACGGGCAAGTGCCGATTATCCGGTAAAATTCTTGCCCTGTAGCTTTTAGATAGCAGATCTAGATGAATCTTTAGTATCTCCTATGTCGTTTCTCGTTCTTATATTTAACATGTATTTTTCGTCCATGAACGACAAAACATTATCACTTTGAGAATATTGTCTTTTATTGGCTACCATGGCAGGAAATGATGGCAACGAATTAGTCCGCATAGAGACAAATATTCTGCCCAAAGGGAAACTTATAGTGGTCTTTTGTGGTTTAGCATTTGCTCTTCTTATCACTTTTATAGATCAAAACTCCATTGGTATAGCATTACCAACAATCGGAGCAGATCTCAATGCGGCCACCACAATTTCTTGGGCAGGTACTTCGAGTTTGATTGCCAATACAGTATTCCAAGTTCTTTATGGAAGAATATCAGATATCTTGGGAAGAAAAGTGGTATTCCTCACTGCCGTGGGATTGTTGGCGCTAGGAGATTTGCTTTGTGGGTTCGCTCAGACAGGTCCCCAGCTTTATGTTTTTAGGGGTATTTCAGGAGTGGGCTCTGGTGGGATTATGGCCTTGACTATGATGATTGTATCAGATGTTGTTACTTTGGAGAATCGTGGAAAGTGGGTATATTCCGGCTATCAGGGTTTCAAGGATTACAGCTAATGACTTTTAGATATCAAGGAATTTTGGGATCCTGCATCGGTTTGGGCAATACTATAGGACCATTCTTGGCGGCCGCGTTCGTCCAACATTCGACATGGCGAGGTCTTTTCTGGTGTATTTGCCCGCTAGTTATTCTAGCTGGTATCATGGTAGCATGGACACTCCCTCCAAGTAAAGTGCATGGCTCTACAGCAACCAAAATTCGAGTCATCGATTACCCAGGAATTGTCCTCGTCACCGCAACCATTATGCTCATTCTAATACCCGTTTCGGGTGGTGGCACCTACTTCGAATGGTCTAGTCCCATGGTAATTTCCATGCTCACAGTGGGTGGCATATGCTTAGTTGCTTTTCTCATCGTGGAATGGAAATTCGCCGTTATGCCAATGTTACCTTTGAACCTTTTCAAAAACCCAGCCGTCTTCGCCATCCTCACACAAAATTTTCTCTTCGGCATCGTTTATTACTCTCACCTCTACTACCTCCCAGTATACTACCAAAATGCTCGCCAGTACTCACCTGTTATGTCCGCCGCGCTCACCATACCATTTGTCGCTACCCAATCCAGCTTCAGTATTGTATCTGGACAGTACATCTCTAGGACGAAACGCTATGGCGAAATTATCTGGATAGGATTCATTCTTTGGACTCTAGGATCAGGTCTTGTTATTCTATTTTCTCGAACGATACCAAAATGGAAAATAGTCTTAATCCTCTTAACCGAGGGTGCAGGAGTAGGTTTCGTCTTCCAACCTACTCTCATAGCAGCACAAGCACACTGCACCAAACGTGATCGCGCAGTTATTATCTCCACTCGAAATTTTCTGCGTTCACTAGGTGGTGCATTCGGTCTCGCAATTTCCTCAGCCATTTTTTCAAATTCGATCAAGTCCCATCTAGCCACATTAGCAACTCCCTTACCTGCAGGATTTAAAGAAACAATTCTTGCATCGATACTAAGCATTCCCAACTTATCAATCTTAACAGCGGAACAAAAAAACGAAGTCTTAGATGCGTATATGGCGGCGAGTAGAAGTGTGTTTTTACTTTGGGTACCAATTATTGGGGTTTGTTTATGTCTTTGCCTTTTGATTAAGGATAAGGGATTGCAGAGACCTGATGAGAAACCCGTGGTTACTGAGGAGGAACAGGAAGAGGAAAATAGTGGAAGTGTGACGGAAAATGAGGTCGCGGTCGAGGAGAGGGATGTAGAGAGAGATTTAGAGAGCGGGCGAGTGGAGAATGTCGTGTAAGCAAAATTTTAGGAAGTAGAGTTTTATAATGCTCGAATTATTATGTTTGGACTGGAAAAAGGAGTTGTATACCCGAAGGTGTTGTATACTAGCGAAGCAGCGATTATGATCATAGACTAATGAAATCACCCGTTTTGTTTATGATAAAAATGCCGCTATTATTTATAATAACCTGTTCTTGCTTATTTTTCCTAACAACGAGTGCGGCGTTATCTCAACGGCGAAGGTGTAATAAGATGGAATCAGAGGCTAATATGCATTTGCATTTATACTGTCTTATACTATATCAAATGTGTTCTGGATTGCAAGACCTAAGAGACATTACTTGCAGGATTTAAAATATCTCAACTAATATCGACTTTGAGGATATTGAATAAGAAGTTCAATGAGCAGGAATTTGTGTTTTTCGTGTAACCTGCGCTTTACTTTTAGGTAAGTTACAACACCTTCCGAAATATATAAAACTAGGTTACATTTTATTGACAGTTGAAATCATTCTAGCAAATTTGCTTGCCTCTACAACTTATTCTATTTTGATAGTTCACCGGGTGATCAGTATTGATGTGAACTTCAGGTTAGCAAACGCGATGCATGTGAGACATTTGGCGGACAGCGCGGAAGGCAAGTTGTTACGGGTGGGAGTCAACCTTAAAATACAGGAAGAGTAGATTGCTGCAAGTTGAAGTTAGATATTCAGGGACGCAGAATTGTAAAAACCGTTGGTTATTTGTATTTGGAAAATAGTTATTGTTAAGGCAGAAGGCGGGCATCAATGAATAGATGTTTGAAAATATGTTATTGGTTGTTTTGGAAACGCAACACTTGAGAGATTTATTTGTAGAGCACCAATGGTCATTTAGTTACTGCAATTTATCTACTGTCATCCAGCTTTGGAGGGGATGATCTTTTATTCTCCAAGGTTGTCGGAAGATCAATAAGTATAATGGTATACTCAACTTGGGAAATTGAAGTTTCTCTTTAAAGTAGGCTGAGATTTATGGGTGTTGATAGTCTCACCCAGTTAAAAACATTCGGGCCCAAGTACCTGCTAATATCAAAGCCGTATTTTTGAAAGTGTCATCATAATATTTTCGATACATCGTATGAATAATGGAAAGCTAGAATTATAAATAGGAACTCGGAGACTGGAACCCACCCAGTTTGCACAGCTCCTTCGTGACCATATCACTGATATACCGAAAAGTCCAATTCAAATTTGCTATAGTGGGAATCAAGTCACTAATTTGATTCACTAAAAATGACACATTTCCAGGTTAATTGCGTGAGGCGTATAATTCCACCCCAGTTGCATACTTCGATGGGCAGACTGCTATGAGTAAATTGCAGAGATGACCTGTCGTATCTCTAAATTAGACATCAATATTGCAAACGAAACTGAGAAGGCTCCAGAGACACATCACACTAACGTTTGCATTAAGCCCATTGTTTCCGGGCACTCTGGCGAGGAGTATTTGGAGCTAGCGGATCTTGCCAATGTGTGGGCCTCCTATTGCAGAAATTGACTTGAGATTGTTGCCTTTGATCCTGCGAAGTGTTCAAAGCTAAGGAAGGAGCTACTCCTCTTTACACCATCACCAAAGACTTCCAACTATGCTTCAAAAGGCACGGAAGTCAATGATATACTGCCGACGTTTTTCTATATATTAGCTCAACCTCTCATCATCGCAGTGAAAGATTTAAGGTCATTTTTTCGCGGATATCGTGCCTGAATTCAGGATAGGTAAATCATTGGCTTATAGACTTTGAGCCCTATCAGCCACAATTTCGCTTGAATTTGGACAAAGCATCATTCTCGGAATGCATGGGCTCTGTCTATTATTACAGATATCATTACTTCCTGAAAAAACTAGCTTTAACAGACTCCCATACTTGCATTTTTAACAATGCACTCAATAGATGCAGACAAGAAACATAAAAATTAAACACTGGCTACACGGAATCACATGGCTCATAGAAATAGCAAAAAATATTTTTATTGGAAAAAGGTTAGAAATCATGCAGATGCTTACTAAGAAAATAACAAGGCATTCAAAAATTGCAAGACTATTGCGTTGATGGGATGACTTACCTCTGCCAGAGAGATTTACCATGTAGTTTTGGGCTAAAATCACCACAATTCATGCCTACATTGCCTACATTGTCTACGACGTCGTTATCGTAGCTCTTTAGCCGGTCGGTAGAGGAGTCAATCAATGAACGCCGTCAAGTACATCACCGCTGGTTGAATCATCGCTAGCTGCATCATCGCTAGCTGCATCATCGCTGGCTGAATCATCGCTAATTGTATCATCGTTGAGAATACGGATAGTAAGACTAATGATGGATTCAGCTGTATTATCATTAACTGAATCATTGCTGGCTGCATCATCGCTGGATGAATCGCTGGATGAATCAGGGTCAGTGCTATTGGAGTACCAATCCGGACCAAAATACGGAATTGAGTAGTACTCGCAAGTCTTTCGACACATCGGACACGATAACTCGTCAGTCAATCCTTCGCATTTCTTGAACCGTTTAACTATGCATCCATGATGGAAGAGGTGAAGGCCACAAAACGCACGTACTACGTCAACACGATTGTCCGGAGAATCGAAAGCCTCTTTACAAAGTGAACAGATTTCCTCCCTCGGGATTTCCTCAGATTTGACATGATAAAGTAGGTCATGAGTAAGAGATGTCACGTTCGTGGGATCAAAAAGGCACTCCATTGATGCTTCCCTTGATCTTACCATTAAAAGGTAGTGGTCTTGATCAACCTCATAAAAATCTAGCAGCTTTTTTGCTCTTGTGATTTTCCACGACAAATGTTCCCATGTCTCCGTGTTTATTATTTGGCCAAGTTCTTCAACATAGTTTGCTAATGCCTTTACCGCATCATGGTAATTTACCTGCATTTTGTATTGCCGCTGAGAAAGGATGGCTTGGTCAGCAATAAAATTTTTCCAATATGCTCTTCGTGATTGAATCTCAGCAGGAGGAATGAACTTGTATTCTCCAATTCCAGGATCAGATATCCAAGTATTCGAGGGCAAGAGTTGTGATAGGACAGAAGAGCTACTGTCTGTATTTGTGAATTGGCTACTCTCAACAGCTTGACAATACATGCACTTACTGTCTGCAATATCAGCATCAGCCCAGCGACATGATTGGATATCATGATGATTACCGAAATTGAGCTTAAATCCCTTCTCTATTTCTGATGAAGCAGGATATGGACTGGATGTCTGCGAAAACGGAAATTGATCGTGATGATTTCTAGCACAAAAAAACTGATGTACTATGACGGTTGTTACATGTCCACATACATCTGAGAAGGTCTCCTTAAAAATGTAACATTCTGCATCCATCTTATTGAGGCTCATAATTCTTGATTTCTTCTTCTTATTAACTGCAATGACTGTCTTAGTTGAAGAGTTTATTATATTAGTGTTTGATGTGGCTAGTAAGTTGAATGAGGTTGGATATCGATTCTTCTCATCGTGGATGAGAAGCATATTTATACTGAATTCAAGGCATTTTTTCCGTGTCTGTAGTCAATAAAAACAGGATTTACGGCTGGGGTGAACAAGGAAATGTGTAAATATGAAACAAAAAAATGGCTCTATCCGTTGTTCTGGATCACAACCGCATTTTTGTCCTGTCTCAAAGAAGTTTTCCAGTTTTCCCGTAAACACTACCCAGTCATGATTATCCACCTACATACGAGCTTTCTGTATGTATACTATCTTGGATATATTCTAGTAGGAATGTTCTGATAGCGGACCTGCTAATATCAAAAACTGAAGTAAAAATGGTAATCGATTTCTCCTTATTATCAAAGAAAAGTCTTTGAAGTTGTCAAAAGAATTTCATTACGGCCGCTTTTTTTTTCGCTTACGCGTTCATTGTCCGGTATTTCTCTCCAGCGCTCATGACTACTACAAAACACATTTCGTAGAATGTTGCACGCCCTGTCGACACAGCTACCACATAGAATCAAGAGAATAGAATCGATCAAAGTACATGTATGTCTGTCGATACGAGCATGGGTCACTCTGGTCATAAATGCCTTTGTCTAATACTTTTATTATTGACAGTGTATGAAAGTGTGGAAGTGAACTTTTAGATCGATTTAGGTATGTAAGAATTTTGGAATCTACTCACCGCACACCATTTAAATTCGTGACAAAATCCCTGCAAAACTCATATTTTCCTATATGAAATAAAATATCAAATAACTTTTTCAATATTGAATTGAATCAAATGAAATTTTCAAATATTATAATCAACTACAAAAGGATATTGAAAAAATTTACAATTTATTTTTAATTATTTTTATTCTAAAATTATATCTATTTAAATTTAAAAAATGTTAAAATTTTATTTGTATAACGTTTTTGAATTTTTTTATATAAAATAAATGATTTTTTAAAATTTTTGTTTTTCAATCTTAAATATATATAATTTTGAAACAAAAATAATAAAAATATTTTGTTAAGTTTTTATTATATTTAAATAAATTATTTATATATATATTAATTTTTATATATTTATTTTATTATTTTATAAAGATAATAAGGATTTAAAAAGTTGAAAAAATCGTTGATTTTGGTGTGATTTCGCTTAGTGTACAATGAGTAGATTCCAGAACTCTTACATGTTATCTCAATTTTAAGTTCTCATTTGTAGTTCAGTTCGGCTTCTATGAGTTAATCCAATACGAGAAAGTGAGATTACATTGCAATACTATCAAAACCTCGAAAATAGCGAGAAAATTAGTTGCTGATCTCGATACAAGAGCAGGACTCGAGGTCAGACACTGAGAATTTCACGACGTGTCACCGCATTCGGGTCTCCAACTCTCCATTAGGCACAATTAAGGTGATATATTCGGGCAATGATTTCCTATTTCATTTTCGTGCGTCTGTAGTTGCAGTAAATTGTAGTGGAGTGCAAGATGCAGGAGGATTTGGATTGTGTTTGATTGTGTCTGTGGTCGAAATTGAGTGCATCACATTAGAAGAAATGGAAACTTTTAAAGTAGCTCAGAAACGATGATAGCATTAAGGGAAGCCATAGAGTCAAATAATGTGTGTAGCCTAGGAAATGAGGACTCATGTATGACTCCGTGACAGTGAATCACTATGTTAGACACTGGAGTAATTGTTGACTCGCGATATGTCAGGTACATAGAGTATATGAGGGAAACAAGAGGTGATGTATCAAATTTCAGTCAGAAAATATGTAGTGCTTAGCAAGGTACTATCGCGAACTCAACGTAGCTAATGAATACTTGAGTGTACCGAAGGTGAATGCATACATTTTAATTTTTCACCAAGACGATTCAAACCACGGCGAGTGTAATTAAACATCAACGATTAGATTCTTCTAAATTCATGTACGATATATGTCCAACTACCGAAGACATGGCTAGTTGATCCCTCATGGATAATCCTACAGCTCCTGCCAATGAGCACAAGTAAGCCTAGTATCAGCACGGTATCTCAATCTGATAAAAATAGTTGTCGGGACCGTTGATCCCTATAGCGCCCAAGACAGTGTCGCCGATATCTTCCTCCAAATACACTGGATACTTCTTGCCCTGACATTTAAGCAGTGGAAACCTACAAGGACCAGTGTACCAACCACTAATACTAATGACCGACTGTGGTGCATCCAAACGGATGAAGTTTGACACAAGCCAAACACGGCCTTTAACCTCCACAGGAACAGCGTCACTGCCAAACAGGCCCTTTGTCCTGTTGAACACAAAATGGTCTGAGCCATATGAAACACAATTCCAGTCTGTGATTGTGGTGGTTGCTGACTCGGGATCCCTCAGGGTTCGAACGGAGTAGAAGCAGGTATTCTCTTTTAGTTGATCGCAAGTCATATCAGGCTTAAGAACTTTGGAAGAATCTTCATAGCACTGGGGTCTCCCGAAGGTCAAAGGAGAAGTGACTGGAACAGCGACGACTTTTCGAAACATGGCGAGGCAAACAATGAGAAGGCGCAAATGCATGTTGGCAAGATTGACAGTAACTATGAATGTAAGCAGATGGCTGACCATCCGGGTAATATCACTTAATTACAAGAACTTAGTTTTATTGGAAATATTACTTCTTTTCGTGAATGCGTTGTTGTAAGATAATGAAAAAACTGTGTGAGATTCTAATGATGATGGATGTTCAATGTTTGCTCAATGAAGACGTTGTTGTATGACTTGGTGACGGTGAATAACATATTGATGCAATTGAGTCATCGATGCAGAACATACACTTTGAAGAAAAATAAATGGCTATATGAATAGAAAGATGAGGCGTCATACAAGAGAACATATAGCAAGCATTATTGTCGGCTTGCCGACACTATAACCTTACTGTACGCGAGATTTATCTATGTTACAAGGTAACAGTCAACCTGTCCACATGAGCTTAGGCCTCATCAAAAAGCAAGGCGATTTGTATACAAATTTGTATGGTAATCGCCTCATGTGGTCTCCCCGCCCTCAGCAAGCTCGGACATATAGTCTGATCCTAGAGATCACGTGATGGACCCTACATATACAAGGATACGAATCGTAGGTCCATACGAATCGAAGGTCCATACGAATCGTAGGTCCATACGAATCGTAGGTCCATACGAATCTACAGGATACGAAGATCTATATAAACCAGAGGGGTTTCATGTATATAGGAGCTTCGTGCTCAAGATCAATCATTTAGTATAACCTACTATTAGTTACGAATTGCAACCATTGATATTACTTTAAAGCTCCTGCTTGACGCCTAGTTATAAACCATTCGAGGATCCAGGCCACTTCCACGTGATCTAGATCGCACCCCTCGTAACAATCTAGTGGGTGATAGAAAATGAGAAACTCGCTTAAATGAACCACGATCCTAATAATTTGATTGGTCTAAAATACCCCGATAAATACCCCAATAAATAAATCTAATAAAAAGCTTGACATAAGTCTTATAATCTCAAACAAATCTGACTTGAAGTTTTTTTCAATTTAACTCTATTGAAATCATTCAATTCAATTTACAATTCAATTGAAATCATACAATTTTATTTATTCAATTTAACTTTATTTATTTAATTCAACTTTATTCATTTAATTTATCTTATTCAATTCAATTCAAAATAATAATAATAATAATAATAATAATATTTTATATTATTTATATTATTTTATATTATTTATATTATTTTAATATTATTCATAATAATAACTATATTATTTATATTTATTATTATTATTATTATTATTATTATTATTATTATTATTATTATTATTATTATTATTATTATTATTATTATTATTATTATTATTATTATTATTATTATTATTATTATTATTATTATTATTATTATTATTATTATTATTATTATTTTAAATTAAAGAAGATGAATTGAATATAATAAATTGAATAAATAAAATTGAATGATTTTAAAGTTGAATATTTTAATAGAAGTAAATGATTTCAATTGAGTTGAGTTGAAAAAAGCTCCAAGTCAGATTTGTCTGAGGTTATAAGGCTTATACCAAGCTTTTTGTTAGATTATTTACCGGGGTATTTTAGACCAATCAGATTATCAAGATGATGATTTATTTAAATAAGTTTCTTATTTTCTATAATCTACATTAGATAAATTACAATACATTATGTGTACAGCAAGGTTTTGGTGTCGGCAAGCCGACAATAAATAAATAATAATACAAAATTTTATAAAATTTCATTAAATATTCAAAAAGTTATTAGTGTTTTTGATTTTGTCTATACTTCTTTGAAAATCTCGCCGAGTACATCAATCAACATCTGTCTTATCTCTTCTCTTTAATAGGCATCAGCAATTTCGAGCAAATTCCATCCCCGATCAAAATCACCTCAAAAATCCAACATATGAACATTTGAACTTGCGTATTCCGAATATTTTCATAAAAAGCATTACCTCAGAATCCTCCGTGTTTTGTATTGATGTGTGTTACTAAGAAATCTTGCATCGGAAACCTTCTGGAACAAAGCTATGGGAGCCAGTTAGATTTTTGAGATTTCTTGGTGATCAATTTATAAACGTTGGAGAGATAGTTAACTAATTGGTATTGTTGAGATATTGATCACATGAATCACTAGCGTTGACGCTAGAGAGATTATATCTCTATATAGCTCTCCACTCTCATAGTTTTAGTTCTTTAGGCAAATCAATACGAATACCATTCAGGTCATATTGAAGCTTCACTTCCCATACCCCGCCACAACCGACAGGTATTTGTGCTCGAATTTCACATTTGTATTAATACAGATGCTCACGGGATAGTAGAAGGGTAATGTTTCGTGTTCCGGATTGTGTCTGGTTTTCCACACGCCTTTCCCCCGCCTGAATCAATAGGTTCAACCGTGTGATTAAAATGCGAACACTTTCGGGCAATCCATCTGTTTTGAATGGCCGGAAGATGTACTTTATTACTGCTTCTCAACCATTAGCATGAAATTAACCAATGCATAGGAATTAAACAGGCATCAAATCAACATGAGATCTTTTGCGAAATTGTGTAATATCATCAACATCATCCGAATCCGTGATTGTGATATTGTTCCGAGGTTTTAATTTTCGAAATGGGACGGTCTCGTTATCATCTTCCAAGTCGGCACCTTCATAACCATTCATCTCCAATGGTATTTCACCAACCTTACCTTTATTTTGATGCTTTGGAAGTTTCTCCAACCATGAAAGGCAGACAAAGAGCTTTAACCCTCATATTTCATATTTTCTGCCAGTCTTTCGCGCATCGACAATTAGCTTTCGGGTCCGACGAGTCCTCCCATAACCACGTCCATTTATCCGATAAATATCTTCACTCGGCTCAAGTGGAAGCGATATGTCTTCTGACGATTGCGGCGGAGTTATGAAAGGGGACGTTAGGCCATCAAGCGAAGTATATCCATTGTTCTCAGGAGAAATTTGTACGAAGGGGTCATCCTCATCATTTTCCAGGAAAATTGCATACAGCGGAGCGGGAATTTGCACAAAGGACTCATCCTGATTGATTTCTTGGAAAGTGGCGGAAGGCGAAGCATCTACATTGTCCGTAGCAGGAATTTGCCCTGAGTCATACGGATTGTTTGTCGGGAAACTCGACCAGTACTCCGCCAACAGGTGATTGTTCGGGTCTTCTCCATCTTCGTCGTCGTAACTATTCCCATCTGTCCCCGCCGGTACACTTGTGGCGTTCAGCTCGTCCCTCAACTTCTCCGAGATTTCTTTGGCATCATCCTGTAGATTTCTTAACCGCCGTCGGCTTGTTTTGAAATCCTCATAGCTTGATATAAGAATGGAGCTAGAGATAGGATATTGATGATAGTTGAGTTGGCCTTGGGGTTCAGATGAATAGTGCTGTCTGTAGTAGCACAGTCTGTTCATTAGGAGCCGTCCGAATCTTATGGCCTAATATTTCGTATTCAGACTCGCTTGGGGATACGGTGTCTCGGGTTCGATTAATTTGAACTTGCGATTTCTCGAGGTCCGTATATGGTTTTGAGTTTTCGGGATTGAGGATATTGTTATTATTGAAAGCAGTATCTTGAAAGCCCGTGTCTGTCGTAGAAATGGATTGGTTTGATTGTGTTGACTTGGTTTCGGAGTTCGAGGTCCACGACTCTGGTTGACCTAGATCCTCGTCGGTAGTTGTGGTTCATCCAGTAAACTTTCTTCGTTGACCTAGTATGTTTTCAAATGCTTTCAAGTTTCTCTGCGTCAGACGAGCGCGTTTGAGGGGTTTTTCGATACTGGTGTCGATAGATGTGTCAAATCCTCGCTTTCGAGTCCTGTGAATATATTTTTGTATTGGGGAAAGATATTCTGGTATATTATTTATGGGTTAGCACACTGCTCGCCGAAAACAATAACCACAACTAACCTTGAACCTGTGCTGTTGAAGGTGAAGGCGGTGATGCGTCGACAGGACCTGAAGTTGGCACACGCGGATATGAGGTCGCTCCAAGGAGTTTTTGAGATTCGTAGTAAGATCCTAGAACTTGAGGAATAGAGTCAGAGCACTGCCTTGATTCTATCTGCGAGCTTTGTTTCCGCAACATTGTCCAAGATCAACATCTTCGTAACTATCGCATGAAGAAGAAATTATGCCTATTTAAGAGGGGTTGATGGGGATGTGGTAGCGGTCGCTGACGGACCCGACGTTTCCGAATCTGTGCAGATAATTGATTCATGAGGGGTAGGAAAAGAGTTGGGTGAGGATGGTCACCAGGCATTTCAGAAAAAGGTGTGTCACAAACTTCAAAAACGAAATCTATTTTGAATAATACTCTCAGAACGATGTATGACGTAAAGAAACACGCTTTCTCGCTACCAGGTAAGCAAAAGTCTGAACCCCTGCTGACAAATGGCTAATGCGTAGAGGTCACGTGCTAAATCAACTACTAACCTTACTCATCAGAAGTTGACACAAAGACGATCCAGATACTGAAGTATGAAGTATGAAGTATATATTCTTTCTTAACTGAGATTCAGTGATGCTCTAGCTGTGGATTTGCATAATTGTACAGTGTCTTTTTGACCTGCAGACCCATCATTTCAAAAGACCTGAAAGTAACAAGGTTACACGTTTCTTTCAGAGTTCACTCATTCACTTTAATTTTCTGCATCCATCATGCTTTGATTTAGAAGTCTGATATATATAAATTCTCGAAAACAAGCCAACGATCTAATGGCACGACTGGTACTCATCATACTACTACACTCTTACAGCTTGACTGACAGTCCTATCCACCCTTCTTAATATCCGTTCAGATCAATTCTCGCCCCGAGCGTGAGAATTGTGCCATCAGTGTCGGCTTCCAACTTTGCCAGTAAGACTCGAGTAAACCTAGCTGGCTCTGTTTTTCCCCATTAGAATTGGTTGTTTTTGGGGTAGGGATGAAAATAGTCTTCGCGATGCTAGGCGTTCCATGTTCGTCTATGACAAACAACATCCAGTATCCAGGAATAAGAACACCAGAACTGGTGGGAAGGCGCGTCGCATAGCGATTTCTATGCAATGGATTTTTACTCAACGAGAGGGGTATGCGACGCTGGTCGGTGTTGACTGTGTGGGTTGCACTACCGATGCGAACCAAGGACGCAGAATGAATCGGAACAGTTGTTGTGAGCTCAAGGACATCGCCTACGTTCAATTCATCTGGGACTCTTGAGCTGACTTCGGGACGATGACGAAGTTCTCCCTCTTCGGTCAGGAGATAAGGTGGCGTGAAGATTTGACCGTCATAGTGATTAGCTGAGCAGTCACCGCAAAGCCCACCACCCGCGTTCAAAACCCGGCCGTCTGGCAATAAGATCGATAATGTGTGGTAAACGCGAATGACGTTGTTGCTCACTAGCTTAGTGAAAGTGTTGGTCTTCGGATCATACAGCTCGGGGATGAATTGCACATTTTCTTCGTTGAAAGCTACCCCAAAGGTCTGGCCACCGGCAATGAAAACAGTCCCATCGGGTAGGACGACGGAACTGTGAAAAACACGTTTTGAATGCATTTCACCGCCGGTTCCAGCAGGTTTTACATCCGCATATTCTCCAGGTTCCCCGAGGGTAATTACATGCGCACTGCTGGTGGCATAAGAGCTGTCATAGTCAGGAGAGCCCCCAATGGTTAGAATCTTGCCTTCCGTAGCATCAAACATTACAGCGTTTCCAGACATGGAATCCGCATCATCCAGGCGATTTCCAGCTCCCTGGACACTACCATTTTCATCCGTAAAGTACCAATTCATAGCTCGGCTAGGGCCGGCTTGGAAAACACTCCCATTTTTCCATCCGAACAACCAACCATGATTGTCAGCTCTCCAAGGACCTTCCATATCATCGGTCAACATTTGTTCGACCGTGGCACCGGGAAGCATAGACCAAGTTTTCTTGTTAGGGTCGTAAACTTCTCCATTTTTGGGAAGTCTTGCCCCTCCATGCCAAGAGCCACCAATGACGAAAACGCGTCCGTCAGAGAGGGTTGTTGATGCTTGATAACCGCGACGTAATGTCATTGCGGGCCCCTTTGTCCATTGATCAGTGGAAGAGTCGTACAAACTAGTCTCGGAAGCATCATTCCCGCCAGTAACGACCATCATTCCGGTACCATCAATGGAAATTCCCGGACAAAACATATCATGCCCAGTGTTCGTAACAATGCGCTTAGACACTTTATATGTCAATGGGTCCCAACGTGCCATTGCCGTTTTACCTCCTGGTGTGGAATGGAACCGATCCGAAGCCCAAGATGACCACAGTACAATATTTCCAGAAGCCTCTTGAGCACCAGCAACTGGAACAACTGGAAAATCAATCGTCGGACCCCATATACCGAGTTTGGGTTCCTGGGGAATGGTGTACTGTGTTGCATAGATATTAATCTCTGAGATACCGATCCAAGACGGATCATCAATCTCACTACTGACACTGAGCTTCACGTATCGAGCGGATGTGGGCTCAAAAGCGGCTAGTCGCTGTCTATTTGTGTTTGGCCACATTCCGTATGCGACCCCCTTCCAATCCTTCTTGTCGTTGCTGGTGTATATTTCGTGATGAGTAATCAGACCTTCACTTCCGCTATCAATTGGAGGTAAGATAACAAGCCCATTGACAGCATGAGGTTTGTTAAGGTCTACTATAATGCTGTGCCCTTCGGAGCCCAATTGACTACGCCAAGAGGATGTGCTGGTTCCATCAATTGCACTCTGGCATGGGAAGCTAGTCTCAGCGCTGCTACATTCTAGCTTCCATTCTTGGCGTGCGATCCGGATGCCTTGATAGGGAGGTGATTCATCGATAAATGTCGGCTCCCATGAGGGTTTGTCTACTGGCCCATAGCCGGAAATGCGCTGCGAGTTTGCCGCCTCCATCATGAAGTTGCGAGCAGCATTCACGCCTCCAAAAGAGACTCCAAGAAGGAACCCCGTCAATTGCGACTTCATTTTGGGGAATGAAACAATGTTGAGGAAGATTGAATGATATTGCAACCAGTGCGTTGCTGTTCAATGTGTAAAAGCAGAAAGTATGTGTTTAAGTACCTGAATATTTTAAGACTCGCTTAGGTCTGTTCCTCCTCGTTCAACAGATATTGACTTTCAAAGTTGACGATTGATATTCTGAGGGATCTTCATGCGTGTGAAAATGCGAAGCCCAATGTCCAATGGAACAGCAGAGTTCAGATGTGAGTTTAGAATTATCATATCTTAGAAGTGGATTCCTCGTATCCGGAAGAAAGGGGTAGATTTTACGGCACTGCCAGATTTATGACGCAGTGTGGTGGGCTGTCTACATCTCTGAAAATCAGATGTACTTTTCATAAAAGCTTCTCAAAGGCAACCCGAAGTTCTGACTTATCCACCTGAAACCGGGGTATTTACCAAGATACTTTCAGCCTATAAACCATGTGGACTTATTGAGCAATGACAATTACTTGGATGGAGTCTGCAGCGGAGCGCCGATCATGACAAGATCTTAGATCAGGACTACCCGCATGCAAGATCTATGGATTCCCAAAAGTGGGCCATATGTTTTCGGCTGCCACGTTCCCCACAACTTCAGCTGAAAAGTGTGCCGCCTGTCCAACCAATCGAGGAAGTCCCACACCAGCACCAAGTTATAGGAACGGACCGCGATGGACCTCTAGCATCATGAAGAACATCAAGATAACCCTAAAATGGTACTACTTGCGAAGGCTCATTTTTAGCAACTTCACACCGGCCTTTCTTATACTTGGTGACAATCAGTTTCCCACTGTCAACAGTCTTGGTCTCTAAATTCTTCGAGGCAAGTCATAGCGGATCTAAGTATCCATAAGACTCCAATTATGCTTTGCAGTGTATGAGGCTAATTCACTATCGTCGTGGTTGACTCGCTATGACACTACTCTACTTCGACTTTCATAAGCAATGCGGATCTTTCAGCCGCAGTACCACTTATTAATAGCCAAGAATATTCGGATAACGCGCTTCAGCTGTTACACGATAGCTGCAAAGTCCAATCATTGCCAAATCGACATATGAGGCTGGGATAGTCAAGGCTGAGCCAATTTTCATAGCTGTATGAGGTAATTAGACAATTTAGAATGGATATACATAAGCTCTTGACGATCTCTTTTTCGGATATACACACAAGGATCTACCTCTTTTCTGGGAAGAGTTGTCCTATGGCATCTCCTCAATTACTGATCTTCCATTTCCGCCTCGTCGTTGGAAGATATAGAGCGGCCTGAGAACCAATCACCCATGAGAAAGGAATCATTGGGATGAAAAGTACACACGTAATCTTTTGCTATTACTAGTCCAATCCAGCCTTGCACGAATCAACTACTGCCAGCGTTTGTAATTACTTTGATGAATATTGTCACTACATTGTTAAGTAGCTTTTTTTTCAAAACAGCCCACACAAAGGTGTTGGCCGCATTTAGAGCTCATAGGCAACTGTATACCCTAAAGAATTGTGGATTTATGAGTAGTGCTCCCTGTTCACTTGTTCGATTACTTAAGCCTCTCTGATACCTTAAGTAGGGACTGAATTCCTCAGGGTATGCCGTATTTGCTTCTCACATCCGATCTTGAGGTGTTCTGACCTGATAGCTGTCACTCAAAATTCTCTTCTATCCACAATCATGAATTGGATAGCTAGAAAGTCTAATATCCAAGGTGATATCTGGTGAGCACTTACAACCATCCCCTTCCAAGATATCCTCTTACCAACCGTTTCCTCATTAGGCCCGGACTGCCCAAAAGATTCCAAACATTTCTGTTTTTTAAGATCAAGAAGCCAGGCGAGTTCAAGCAGCGGCTACGATCTTTTGTGGAGAGCGGCGATATCACGACTGCGGATAAAGCATGTGAGATGAAGGACAAGATCCTCGCGGCGAAACTTCAAGCTCAAAAGTTGCGTCAACCAGCCAAGATTTTGGCCTTGCCAGGTGTCAATATTGCCTTCGCCTCGACTGGTCTAGCAGCTGTAAGTTACTGCCCATACCCGTAAAAATATGAATGCCACTGCTGACGAATTTCATCAGCTGGGTAAATTCTCCTTTAAAGATGCTGAGGTGAAGCGAAATAAAGAATTCTACACAAAGTTCAAGAGTAATCAACTTCGCGGTGGTTTGTTCAGGAAGGGCATGTATGATGACCTCGTACATGAGGGCTGGGATAATCCCCAGGAGATTCGAGATGAATACACCCCATCTAAGCGTTTGATCGATGGAGTATTTTTGGTCACATCCAGCCTCCAGAAGGATTTGGAGAACAAGGTAAATCGTGTCAAAGAACATTTCCTCAAGGTGCATGGCAGTGGTGATGCCAATACCTATGAAATCAGTAATGACCCAGCAGTCCAATTCACATTTGTTAAACAAGGCAAAACTCGTCCGGAAAAAGGCAAAGAGCAGTGAGTACTCTCAAAATATCGAACGGGATTCGATATATTCTAATCTATAGCATAGCTTCGGATTTGAGGATGGTATCAGTCAACCGCTTATCGAAGGCCTGGATGAAGTGACACCTAAAGACAAGGAGCCCAAGTCTGTGAAGTCTGGGTAAGTGTTTCTTAATATTACTTTACCTAGATCATCTCGGCTGACCAAAGGGTGGCTTGCTTTGCAGATTAATCTTCGTGAAGCACGGTGGTATACAATGAAGCAGCCAGATTGGGCGGAAGACGGGAGTTTCCTCGTTTTCCGAGATCTGCAACAACTTGTTCCAGAGTTCGATAAGTAAGTTGCCGTGCTTCTTTTATGAAAAGCGAACTAATCGAGACATTATTAGATGGCTAGAAGACAACAAACAGCATGCGCCAAACGCTGCGCTATCTGATGATCCGAAAGAAAAGCTTGCTGCATACCTAATGGGCCGATGGAAGAATGGTGGGTATTCCGACTTCGATTTGATCGTCCGTTAATTGATTAATCAGGTACCCCCGTTCATGAAAATCCCCACAATGATAAAGATAAGAACCTCTTCCATTCCAACAACTTTGATTTCCATCCCGTCGAAAAACACGATAAATGTCCCTTCGCGGCCCATATCCGGAAGATGCGACCTCGTGGAGACTTAGACCATGATCATTCCGTCATCATCCGTCGCGGCATTTCTTATGGAGGTGAAGTAACGCCCAAAGAAAAGCTCGCACAAAAATCGGATAATGAGAAACAGCGTGGGCTTCTGTTTGTCTGCTATCAGAGCGATATCCGCGAGGGTTTCAACTTCTTAACTACTCGCTGGGCAAGCAATCACCACTTTCCCGACCGCAAAGATAAATTTGTCGGTGAGCATGGCCCTGGTATTGACGCGATTGTGGGTCAGCGACAGGATAGCCACCCACCTCGCTCTATCGGGCTACCAGATGGTAAGGATCCTACGGAGGCTCGCGTTGTGCTTGAACAATGGGTGATTCACAGAGGTGGTGAATACTTCTTCTCGCCGAGTATCAAAGCTCTCAAAGGATATTTGACCGATGACCCTGATTATCCACCTGAGATTACAGCTCCACGAGATGTTGTAATGTAATTATTCATGATCTGTTGGTGTGGGGTCTATTGGGACAGATTAGAACGTGTGGGGTTTGTTGAGATCTATACTAGGGTATAGCAATGTATCAAATGCTGCTTTTTTCTTTCTTTTAGAAAAGAATTGATGTGTTTCGAACGATTGAATCAGGCAAGAGGATTTAACATTAAATTTGCCCACATAGTTGCAACAGAAAGAAACCAGGGTCACGAGATTGTCATGTGTTGGAAAGTGATTGGTTGTTCGGCATTGTTACATTTTAGTATTTGACAAATATACAATTCTTCTTGTGGATACTAATAACACAATATCATGTGTGTGCAGTTCCGTACGTATACGGAGTATACGGCAATAGTATGATTGGAGGTCCAATGTTAAGGGAAGTGATTTTCTTCCAGCGGTTTTCACAAAGCGTTTCGTTCCATTTGGGTTGCAAGACAAATTCCACGAGGTCTTGACTTCGACCTTGAATATACAGAGTATTTACCTTGTCTATGCAATTCACAAATGACCTCCTTCATATTTTCAACGGCAATGCCATCCGAGAATAGCCCCACAAAGTGGGTTCCTTCAGGGCTGAGAGTAAGCTGAGCAGTCCGTACGGAGGACAGACTCCAGGGTAGATTTGTGAATAACGTCGATCGTCAATCAAAATCTTATGATAAAATTAATGCCTACAGGATTCTGTACGTTCGTACGGGGTACAAGATTGCCCTTGTACTTAGCCCTACCAGCGTAGCCTAGAAACCGGCACAGTCATAAGTCACGCCAAGCGCCACAGAAAGCCAAGCGATACCCACGTGACTTTGAATCCATTAAATTGTCGAATCAATTCATCGCGTGCCTTACATTTCATAAATGTTCCCCCCTGACCTTATCACACCTCACATTGCATCAGCATCCTTTCAGGGTTTCACCGCAGTGCAGCTTTAGGGTGTTAAACACAGCGCCAATTTCAACGTTATACCAGAAAAGTAAGAATTTACCTTCGTCACGTCACGAAAATCCACCTTGATATGGAATCACCAGCCCTTGGATCTTGATCATGAATGCAGAAATGATCGCGCAGGGTAAGATGCACAGATGGTGTGGGTTAAATCCCAACCATACGGAGTATACTACCTAGGCACTCTTACATTTTCTTTCCTTCTTTCCTTCCCTCCCTTCCTTCCTTCCTTCCTTCCTTCCTTCCTTCCTTCCTTCCTTCTTTCTTTCCTTCTCTCCTTCTTGTTTCATTTCTTCATATTCAATGAATTTTAGCGAAGACACGTATGTTCCTTCTTCTCTGTTGTCTGAATGACACTTGACTGCATTGAATAATACAAACAGAGACAAACAACTCCATCATTGAACAAATAAATTGCTTTACGTGTCAAATTTATAATATCGATACAATAAACAAAGAATACGAGAGAAACTTACACTTTTATACGCTGGAGCTAAATCTACTAAAGCTACAATGTCCGTCTCTCGTCAAAGCACTACCTCCCTACAAGTCCAAGCCCGCAACAGTAATAACTTCCCTGAAACCGAATCAACCCTCCCACATCTTCCCCGCACACCCACAAGCTCTTTCCTAGAAAACCTCCTCTCATATCTCGGTCCATATAATCCCTTCCCAACAGCAATATCCAAAGATGATACAGTTTGGTTATTAGACAACACGGCTTACAGGAATCAATTGACCGGAGAATGGGAAGCGGAGTTTGTGGCGGCAGTTTGGGAGACTGAAAGTGGAAAACATGTCCCGGAAATTGTAGGAGATATAGTTGGGAGAATTGGTGGAGACGGTGATAGAGGAGAGGATGAAATTGTAGAGGAGAGATTGAGACCATTTTTGATGGATGTTAAACCTGGGAGGGTTGTTGATGTCGAGTTTTCAGAGCATCAAGAGAATACAGAATTAAGACTCGGACCGGGTGGAAGAAACGGTATTAGCAGCGATATTCGAAAATTGAAAGATGGTAAAGATGGCGAGATCGCAACGTGGAAGGCAGAAGTGCCGACAGGAGCAGAGGGGATATTGGACATGAAAACAGTTTTTGCAGAACCGGAAGGGTGGGGTGTTATTTCTGGTGAGTTGGGAAATTCAAAATCATTCAATTCTTGGAATTTGTCGAACTTTTTGGCGCTATATTGAGGGAAAAATACTAACACCACACAGATATCGATGACTCGATAAAAATAACTCAAACTAGCTCTCCCATTGGCATTCTGCGCTCGACTTTTCTATCTAAACCACAACCTATTGAGGGAATGCCAGAATTTTACAGACATATCCAATCTTTGATCACCTCTAAAAATGCTTCAGTAGCTCCTTGGTTCTACCTATCTGCCTCACCTTACACTCTCTACTCCTTTCTCAGCGAATTTCGTCAGGAATACTATCCTCAAGGAACCATGATATTAAGGGACGCAAATTTCTTGAGCTTAGGGGGATTGCTAGAGACATTGACAGAGGGTACACAAGAATATAAAGTTGATAGAATGGAGAAGATTCATGGATGGTTGCCAAAGAGGAAGATGATTTGTGTGGGCGATAGTACACAGAGTGACCCAGAGGCTTATGGAGAGATGTGAGTTCTAATCTTTTGTCTTTATTAGCTTTCCACTTACTAATGATCAATTAGGTACCGTAGAAACCCAACCTGGATCAAGCTAATTCTCATCCGCAAAGTAACAGACATTGCTGCAATCGGTATTTCCCAGAAGAATGAGCCGGAGAGATTTGAGAAGGCTTTTACTGGTGTTCCAGAGAGCGTATGGAGAGTTTTCGAGAGCCCAGAGGAGTGTTATGAAGTAGTGGATGAGTTAGTAAAGGAGACGCCAGCATAATGATTCAAGAACGTTGGAGCGGTAATTTGGCCGGGCTCGAGGGTCATACTAGATTTTTGGAAGTATTTATAGAAGTGATCTTTATTAACTGGAACTTATAGTATTGTCAACAATGTGGCTATTGGGGTAGAAACATAGAGAGACTATCAGTAAACGGATATTTCTCGCATTGGAACGGGAGGAAACAGCGTCGAATTGTTTGCAAGCAAATATGTTCTACAGGACCATTAGACGAGTTGATAACCCATTTCAATTTACGCGGTGACAGGATCTCCTCTCTGAGAGCTTCTATGTGATTTCAAACAAACTGTCACACAATACCTCGGCCCGGGATGTTGTTGGTGAAGTGGTTCCAAATCCGGGGTTTGCATCCTGTTCAATTAAGCAGCCGCCCAGGACATTTCTCGGACCATCAAGGACACCCGCTTTTGAGTGCTCAGTTTGTAACTGGGAGGTTATCTAGCCTTTGCAAAAAAGATTCCAGAGTGGTTTTATAAATGTTTGCTATTCTACCTTGGTGCTGAGTATTACAAGCCTAACCGTTAAGCGCTGAGATGGTTTGATTTTAGTAGAGTTTGGAGAGGAATGGGCTGACTCGTTACCCTGTATCTTATGGCGTAACCCACGCTGGGCGACAGAACCCCTGCTAGAACGTTGATGTTCAGGGTGTTCTTTGACGAAATACCCTGATTATATCTACTCACGAGTCACTACCTACTAATAACCAAACTTACGTGGGGAACAAATACCCTCCTTCCCACCCAACTAACAGACATAGTTAATTACAAATACCTGCTTGTAGGTCAAAAACTTACGTCTTTACTTCCACTTGATTGTTTGCGACTTGATTGGGAAGTAAAGTATTGACTGACACCATCCTAAAATCAAGTCGAGAGTCAAATATCGTCTAACTTTGCAACGGTCATTCCCTAAGCAAGAACTAATTATAACCAACCTCCCATTTACTCTTCCCTCTTCCTTTCCAAAATACTCTCCTCTCCAGAATATTTTCCTTTCCAGAATACTTTCCTTCTCATCTCTTCTACTTCAATGAATCAATAAATTTATGAAAACCCTCTAACATACCATTAAATTTCATTTGTAAAACAAAAAAGAGCATTCTGGATATCAATTATGGCGGCCTTAACAACAACCATGATTAGTTCCACCCCCAACTCACTTATCTCTTTTCCACTATCTCTTCCACAGTCTTCCCTATCAAGGGGACATACCACCTTCCACAATTTCCGTGATCTACCTCCCAATATCCGCAGCACAATCTGGCGTCTGGCTTTCCTGGAAACTCAGCCTCCTCGTCTCATCGAAGTTCGTGCTCACACCGAAAAGAACCTATTTTGGGATATGGATTGCGAGAATATACTTTTCCCCCAGCCAACAGGATCTACGGTAGTCAGATGGATGGAAATCAATCCGCGAGGTCGATCTGTAATCGAGAACGTATCATGTGAAAGTAGAAAGGCCGTGGAAGGAATGTGGGATTTCTGTTTCAATGATACGCACAAGGAGGATCTTGGCATGATTGAACTTTTCAACGGTGACAACGGGCTCGAGGATGCGAGATATCTGGAGAGAAAGGTTATTGAGGAAACATTGGGTTCCAGTTTTAGGAGAGGAATTAAGTTCTTGAAGGATCGGGATACAATTTACCTGAAAACCAAGGACTATGAAACTATGAGAGCATTGCTGGATTCGCGGGGTAGCATGGTTAATTTGTCTAGTTTGAGGAAGGTAGCGATCGATATGTCTTGGAATGGTAATTACCTGTTGGAGAAACAGTTTTTTGAGGGTTGGAATAGGGAAGAGACGAAAGCAGCTTCGAAAGGAGAACACGACATAAGCGAGATGAGATATATCGGAGAGAAACCAATGTTGAAGGAATTGGAGGAGTTGACGATGGTTATGGAGGATAATCCACAACGAAGGGAGTGCGAGATTCAGAACTTGTCGTGTCAACTTGAGGGGAAAGTGACCTTTCGAAAACAAATGATTACCAGGGATAGTCTTTCCGATGAGGCATTGATGAAAAGAATGTATTTGGCTGTAGAGCGTTTGGAGGAATATGAGATTACGAGCAATGGAAATGTTAAGATTGAATTGGTCATGGAAGGCCATCTAGCGGCTTGTTGAAAAGTTGGTTATGGGTATATGGAAAGGCAGACCAGGAGATCATGGAGTGATTTGGGGGCTTTTGAGAGAATGATTTATCTATTGTTTGAGACTATTGTTGTACGACAGCGTATTCATCAAAGACAAATAAACACAGCAATTATCTCCTGATTCTGAAGAAATAGTAACTTCAATATAAGTCCCATTCAGGTTTGCGAGTCTACTCTCAAGATGCACCTATTGAAGAGTATTGGATGAAAAATAAGCTCCCTTTGAGGAACTTTCCTAACTGCAGCTAATACAATCAGTTCTTACCTAGGTATACTGAACCATAAATTCAAGATAGCCACCTTGAACCAATAAAGGACTACCAACCATCCCATATTATTAGATAAGTTCGACCGTTTGAGATGAGGCTGAATTTAATAATGGAGAAGGTTGGTGAGAACTTGATGTTGAATACCTAGGTAATGTTGGGTGTGAGAGCATATTCGAAAATCAAGACGTAATTTTCGAATGAAAAATCATTGGTAACGTTATGCATACGTCACATAATTAATGTAGATGTAGACTTGCAGGACGATGCGAAGTATCATGAACATATCTTCTTTTTAACTTCATCACCCGGTATTCTTCTCTCCTCATTATATAACTCAAAGTACTACCCTACTTTACTCGAGTAGTCTTCTTTTTCGTACCACGTGAATTGCTCAGGATGAATTTCATGCGCCACATTATTACGCGCCACATTATTAACGTATCAGCCACACACAGTAAATATCATTCTTCCATCATCAACAACAACATCACAACATCACAACACCACTTTAGCTACATCTTTGATAATAATATTGGAATTATTGATGATATTTTGGGCGAATATCTAAGAATCTAGTAAAGCTTCAGGATTCATCCCATCTTCCGATTCTCAATTAGAAAGACTGGTTGTGCTGCTGTAACCATGTCGGAAAAACAAAATAATAGAACTGCGCAACCACCTTTGGTTGATAAATTTCTCCAGCTTGGAAAGGCAGCTTTTGATCCAGATATTCCGGAAAGCAGGAGAGTTCAATCACGACGCGAGTTTGGCCAGTTGATTGAAAGGTACACTTTCCCCAATATCTCTTACCGGAAGTCCTAATTGTTCCACAGTACTTCGACCATAAAGCTCATGCCCGTTTTAAATCTTCTTGTCCAGCCGGATCGAGTACATCCTTGGTTACGAGGACCTTTGATCCATGCGTTAGCCCGCCTTCCTCTCAGACGGCGTGGTGTACAAGATACAATTGAGTTTGTCTTCTCAGTACACCCGAGCAATGCAAGTATGAAGGCATCGGATACCGTGGGTAGTCGCGCAGTAAATATTTCTCATGAAGCCATGAGCTCCGCATCAAAACTTTTGTCCTCACCTCCACATGGCATGTCAGCAGAGGAATGGTTCGGTGGTATTGCCCCTCAATTATTTGACCTCCTTGACGGGAAGGGCGAGAAGGAAATGGATAAGGCGGCTTCTTACATTATTGGTTTTGGAATTTTGGGTCGCAAGCTCTATGGTGCTCCAGGTAGGGATAATACATTTCTTAGTCATCTTTGCATATGCTGAAATGTTTAGGCGCACCCGGATGGAAGGCTTTGGTTGAGCCAATCATTGGGATGATAGATCCATCTCTCACCTCCCAATCCACAAAACGAAAGTCGCGAGTTGAAGAGATAATAGTACTTGGAATGCGCGAAGTTCTTGTTTCCGCGGAAGATCTCGAGAAGAGTCTACTAAGATTACTTACTCTGGTAACATCACATCCACATCCATCACTGACGAAAAGACTCCTCAATCCAATTCTTTTACCACTGTGGGCATTACAATGCGTCAAAGTAGATAATAGTACTGAAGGGCCTCGTGCTTGTGCAGAAAGGCTGTTGAAGATTCTACTCCAGCTTTCGTCATCAAGCGTATCAAATACGACCGAAGGTCCACTTTCTAAAATTCTACATAACATCTTATTTCAGGGCAGATCGGAACCTGGTAAAGCGAACTGGATGTATCATTCAACAAAGGATGGTAGAGGCATTCAGGTTGAGAAACCATCGAATCACATCAACTTCAATCAAAATCTTGATATTGGACAAATCAATACAACTGTGGAAACATTTGTTGCACTTTTAAATGGTGTTCCTGAAATTGATTCTCAACTATCTCAAATATTTTTGACGTTGTGTCAAAAATGGCTCTCCCAAGCTAAGACTCGGCCGATCTCATCTATTATGATTCATGCTTCACCAACAAGTGATGAAGAAGATGTCAAGACAAAGCTCATTGAAGCGAAAGTTTTACAGGAAATGATAAATGCTATGCCAGAGAAACTCGTTCAAGATCCAAAACAGTTAGTGGAACTGATTGACGGAGTATTGAACGACTCAGTCACCGAAAACGGAGATTCTGAAGATCAAGAAAACATTGGCGCCATTGCTCTAAGTCTTTTGAATATTATTCTAACATCACCAAATTTTAAGCCGACCCCAGCTATAGAACCTTTCCTTGAAAGAATTGAATCTTCTCTTCGAATTTATGGACGCGAAACAGACACGGAAACAACACAAACCGCACAAAATCTTCTTGTCATTTTACAATTTCGCCATGCACTTCATGAGTCAAGCGCGACACTATCCGAAAATGTTCCTAGTCGAGCCATAGAGGATCGAAAGACTTATAATCTCGCCATGTCATATCTGACCTCTGTTGAATCCCCTCCACCAGTCAGAGTCCAAGGGATTGAACTTATTCAAACCTTGATTAGCGCTCGTAGTTCGATCTTGGACATACCCGCGCTTCTCGTTTTATTTTCATCTCTACTTCAGGATTCTGATGAATATGTCTACCTTCGCGCTATTAGGTGCTTCATTGACCTTTCGAAAGTTCATCCTAGGGCCGTACTCAAAGACATCATTGAGCGTTATGTGGACGGGAATGAGGATTATGATCTTGATGCACGTTTGAGACTTGGGGAAGCCTTACTTCAGGTGATTCAATCGTCACCGACGAACTTTACTGGTGCTATCGCACAAACTGTCAGTGAAGGTCTGCTTTCTGTTGCAGGTCGAAGAGGATATCGACCAAAGACCGATGCGGAACAAGTGAAACGTGAAAATTTACAGAAAAAGAAGACAGCCGAAGCAGAAGAGGCATGGGATGGTCCAGTGCCACAGTTGGACGAAGTTCTTGAAGCGGATTCCTCTCATCCAGAATATGAATTAATTTCCAGAATCATTTCAGGTTGGGAAAGTAAACGTGGAACGGAGGATATACGAATTCGCTCATCTGCTTTGGCTATTCTAGGTGAAGCTATAGAATGTAATGTAACAGGCATTGGATCTAAGTCAATATCTATGTCTATCGATCTCAGTATTCATATTCTCACATTAGAATCTGAGGTTGAAAAGGGCATCCTTCGTCGGTCTGCTATTCTTCTCGTGATGAGTTTTGTACGCTCGTTGGACAAGGCAAGGGCCGAAGGTAGACAGGTAGGATTTGGATTCGTCGGTCAAAGCCTAGATGATATAACGAGAATATTAAAATATGTTCAGAATATGGATAACGATGGTTTGGTCAGGCAGCATGCGAAGGATGTTGTTGAAGGGATAGAATCATGGCAAATGAATTCTTTGATCCCAGTTGGGAATTCAGGACGGGGGGATAGTATCGAGCATTTGAGTGCCGGCGGGATTGGGAGCCTGGCTGGATTGAACATTACACCTGTCGATAGGAATGTAAATGTGAGACCGAGAATCGAAGAAATTGAGTAAGATGGGATGGATGGTATTCTAAGGTACACTTGGATGCCCTTGGTATACTTAATATTTGTTGAGACGGCGGTATCCGTCCAGTTTCGCAAAATTCCATTGTTGAGATCTCGAGCGGACCATCCTCTGGCGCCTCTCCGTCAGCAATTTTTTTTTTCGGCCGCAACTCCTGTGACTCGACTTATCCCATGAATAAAGTGGATTTAATCAACACAGGGAATCCTTACACACTCGCACCACCGGAAATTATGCGGCTCCGATGCTCTATGCCCGTCCCACAAGATGGGAAACTACGAAGTACGAGAGAAATTCCGAAGTACAGTACCTGGTGTCTGAGTCTTGCACTTTTCCGGCAGTACAAGTAGAAATTTAACAAAAGGTGGGAGGACAAATCCTTCAATGCCTGTGGATGCAGAAATCATAGTACAGTAAATTGTCCGTCGGCCGAAGCATGCGTACAAGCTTTGCTGTCCATTTTACTTCCTCGAAATTTACGTACCGGTATGCCACATGTAAATCTGATTCCTCGGTCTTTTCATAAGGTGTCTGAATGAGCTTTTTTCTTCGAATTATCACTCCATTGTTCAATTGTTCCATAAAGACGCTTTTCTTCCAAGGAAATCCTTCTGTTCGTCTGCAGCGGTTCGGCCCTGCCAAGAAAGTGGCTCCAATGTCGTTGATTAGCCGACATGTACGGAGATTTATCTCAATTCGAAATAGTGGCCGCGGGGAATAGCCCCACTTGGTCCTCAAAGCTGCCATTACCATTCTCTCATGGAACCTAAAGAAGACAGTGGATTTGCATACTTATCCTCATCTTGACATGTTACTCCGAGATCTCCAGTTTCATTTGCAGGTTTGGGAATGTTATACCCCGCAAAGAGGCCGCGTGGTGTTTGTTGTTTGTTATTTTCCTCCCTACTGCAGAACTTTGATAGTTGCTCCCCGGATTTCTCCACACGCCGTTGCTGCACGACAAACATTAGTTGCTCAGTAAATGTCAAGCTACTTATTGGGTGTTTCGGAATCTATGGAAGACAGGAAATGCCTGATTATTACATCAAAATAGCACAAATTAATAACAGGCATGATTCATTTATCTGAACCGAATAATACGGACGCATTTCCATGGCTTTAATTGGTCACCAGCTGTCACCTACCCCCATTCTTCACATAGGATCCATTAGCGCGAGCTATGATCCTAATGGTCATGAGAACATCTTCCCTCAACGAATTTAAACACCTTGCTGCTGCAGCCTCCACGGCTAATCAACAAATGTGCCATCAATCCTTCATCTTGCGTGCCCCGAGTGCCTTTAATGCACAGTTACTCCTAATGTGACATTCGTTGCTGACTGCTGATCATTTTCGGAGATGGTTCCTGATTGACACTGACGCGGTTCATGCCGAACCACTTAGAATGAACACCTGGAGCTTGAAGAAAGGGATGCGGTAAAAATTTCCCTGTGGTATCCTCTGTATTTCCCCGCGTATACAGGTCCAACGTTAGAAGGGAAGGAGGGGTAGGAAATTAAATACGGAAATAAAATTCACTGGGGCCAAATGATCCCAATGCAAGCGGGTATAAAGTGTGAATTATACCTCCCCTCTCATACCTTTCTTCTTCAGCCCAGCTTGTGTTTTTTCGCTCTCCTTTCTTGCAATCGTAGGCTTCCGTTGGTAGACAATTAATAGTTCTTTATCTCCCGAGACGCACTCCGAGTTCACCATGAAGCTCAGTTTCCTCCTAACTGTTCTCTCTGCCAGTCTCGTTGCAGCTGCGCCCATTTCCACCGGACCTGTCGATCACAATGAAAAGAGAAACACTCCCCTCAACACTATACTCACCATAATCCTGAATCATCTTCCAGCAGTCAATGGTGCCATTGGGGCTGTTGAAAGTGTCATCACTAACTTCCAGGAACTCGTCTCAAATCTCACTGGAATCAGCGACACTTACAATGAGTTAGGCGGTGCTTGCACTGACTATACGGTCATTTTCGCCCGCGGAACAGATGATCCAGGAAACACAGGTGTCATCACGGGGCCGCCATTCTTCATGGCTTTACAATCTCTTGTAGGATCTTCTAAGGTCACTATTCAGGGTGTGAATAACTATGCTGCGAGCGTAGCAACATTCCTTGCTGGTGGTGATCCTGTTGGAAGTGCTTCCATGTATGTGACCCCATTTCATATCTTGAAGAACACTTGCCATTACAAATTTCGATACCAAGGATCGGTGACTTGCAACCTCATGATCAAATATCTGACATTGATACAGGGCATCTGAAATCCAAGCAGCGCATGCAGCATGCCCGAATACACACCTCGTCGCATCTGGTTACTCCCAAGGAGGACAAGTCGTGCATAACGCACTTGCATTACTTCCTGCAGCAACCGCAAGCTGGATCAGCTCTGTTGTAATTTTTGGTGATCCATGTATGTGAATTTCTCAATATCCCTATCTCTCGATACTCATGAGATGCGGAAAAGTTACTAACAGGTAAACAATCAGTGGATGGTCAAGCAATCCCGAACGTCGCTGCTTCAAAAGTCGACACCGTTTGTCACACAGGTGATAATATCTGCCAAGCTGGAGATATAATTCTACCAGCTCACCTTACCTATGGAGAAAATGCCGCTGCTGCGGCCGCATTTGTGGTTGCTGCCGCTAAATAAATTGCGGTGCTGTACAAGCCACACAGTTTTGACGACGTTTGATGACGATGACGATGATTATAACGACGACGATGATGATAGGATACCCCTAGTACGGAGATTTGAGAGATTTGAGAGATGCAGGGTTCTGGTTGGAGTTCTAAACGAAGCTAATTGAGACACTAATGAAGGGTTGGATGTGTGTTGGAAAAGCCGAAGATATCAGCAGCGCTTTTGAGGGATAATGATAATTTGGCATTGATATCTCTTTTGCTTCAATGCCTGAAGTTTCTCGTCAAACCTAGTCGCGCAGATTTATAAATTTTTTCAAACCAACTGTTGGATTCAAGACTAGCCTAACCTTGTCCGTTGTCCACACAACACGTGAAATGCACGTGTGTGCCTAACTTAAACAAGAAGTGGATTTAAACCTCGTACGAAGTAATTTCTAGTAGGGTAAGCTTCCTGAATAAAGTACATACGCTCCACTGTAGCGCTAGTCGCTGGGACGTATCACTGGATACCAGAACTTTATCTTCAAGACAAGTATACGGAAAAGCCGATCTAATGATTTAAAACGCTGCACGTAACACTTGATACAAACGATGTACATGATCTACTCGCATTCTTGAAGAATATTTCAAGTGATGAAAACGTCAACACCGTGCGTGTAATAATGCCCTTATTTTCCTTCCCGTTCTTTACATTCTACTCGACTTATAGGTTACACCATCCCAACTCTGCATACAAAACGAAAATGCAAGAAATATACTATCCAACTATCCAACCTCCGCCCAAAAGCCAAAGTAATTACCGCTTGATTTTGGCAAAACCTGACTGGAATATCTGGCCAGCGGGTTAAATACAACGACGGGAAACTTGAGATAATCATTCGTGGAGGAGCCTTGGGAATTCATCAGTAATAGAGCCGGCCGGGGGGTTGGGGGTGGTCGGGGTAGAGACTGTACGATAGATGGGCTGTTGGAGTGGCTTGAAGTGTAAGTGAAAGGATTGAAGAAATGTTGAGGGTTAGATCAGCTGTCGGTGTATATTTTGCTCTGCTAGCTTCTTATATCGGAAGTGGGAGGGGGAAGGGATTGGAAAGTATTTGGCGTCCGGGTAAATTTGAATGCTGGGTAATGAAGTGAATGGCTGAGTTTGGTTTGGGAGTTATGGCAACTGTTCGATATGTGAATAGAGCGAGAAATGTATGAATAAGGGGGGTATCGCTTTGCCTATAAGGCTCGAATAGGAAACTTGATTTGTACATTTTGATTGGATTATAGCAGCAGAAAATGTACAAAGAACGTTAAATGTTGCTAAGCACCGAATCCGTAGTTCAACCGTTAGATAAAAAAAAGGAAATCCAAGTTTGTGACGTGATTCATACACAAGAGCATAAAAGTGTAGGAAGAATAAGAGGATCATCATCTATATATTATTAAGGTCTCTTGCGTATCTTGATATCTCACGTGAAAAAGTAACTTCCTGAACGCCGAGTCATATCCAATGTATCATCTCATCCCATCTTTACAGGGTAATCATGAAAGCTACCATCGTAGCTATCCAAACCAAACTCCGACCGATTGTGGTCTTGGTAGCACCACTCTTACTCAATCCAAATGGCAGTCCTTGCTCACTGAATGTAAGGTTCTGGGGAATGGTAGAATTATAACATTGTCCATTGACAATATCAAGATTCGTAAGATCATCTGGTACTAAAAAGAACATGTATTGTGATTGATTTAAATTCTTGAAGCCCGATGTCTGGTATGGGAATTTATCTCCACTGTCCGTGGCAGATGTGTTGCGTAGGAATATGCATTGGACTTGTCCAGGGAAATCCGTTACCATCTCCGGGTAATCTTTCATGACGTCTGAATTGGAAGTGTCGGCTATCAAAACAAATTTGCGGTTGGGATAAGTCTCGAAGACCTTTTTAAGTAAGTACTTTCGAATCGAGAGTGTTGCAGATACATCTGAGAAATTGAGAGGTCGGGTGTCAAAAGATCCTCCTGGATAGGTATCATAGATAAATTGCATGTAGTTCCTTGTTACTTGCTCGGGTGTTGTGGTCAAATAATGAAAGTGAAAGTTGGGGATACTGCGAGACCAGTTGGCGTAGATGTCGGGCATGTTCATCCATGGTGTAAATGGCCTCGCGAAGGAGTTTAATAGACCTTCCTTTGGTTCGTAAATCTTTGTAACACGAAGGATATCATCAATGTCAGAAATAATGGTAAGACCTGACTCGGGGACGAGATATGATGTTGCGTTTCCGGTCAAGGTGCCATCTGCGTAAACATTCAATCGTTGGATATCCGTGGTATCATTACCAGGAGCAAGGTAACCACCGGGTCCCGAAACATTGGCGATTTGAATGAATTGATCGTAATCACCCTCGACCGTTGTTTGTCCCACAAGGGTAATATTTTGCGCTCCCCCAGCTGGTGTCACCGCACCGCCACCACCACTTTCTCCATCACCGCCTTGAGACGAAGCAGGCTCTAAACTGAATAAGACGTTGACATGTGCTTGTTGTACGACGAAAATCTCGGCAGTGAGATTTCGAGCTTGGGATTGTTGAGGGGCAGGCAGATCTTCGATTGAGGTACCAACGAGGAAGACGTTTGCTAAATCGTTGAGCTTGGATTCCGAGATGTTTGGTTGTTTGAAGACATTTCCGTGAACACGAAGATTCCAACCTTGATCAGTCCAATTCGCATACCCTCTGTTTGATGATTAGTATTGCGGTAAACAATAGAGTGCGAGAAAATAGATATACTGACGGGATATTCAAAACCTGTGTAGGAGTAGCGGCCAAATCACTATCACTAATGCCCAAACTACTTTGCACAGCACTTCCAGTTGGGAAGTCCTGGAAGAAATTGGGTACCCCGCTCGCAATATATGATGGATACGTTCCGATGACACTGGTAAGATAGCTTTCCAGACCCTTGATAGATGATACGGCTGAGCTAACCACCCCCCTTTGTACGATGAGTCTTGATGGTGTTCTGTCAGTCAGAGAGGCCCGCGGAGTGATCATAGGATGAGGAACTGGTTGGGCTACTCGATGTGGCGCTGGAGCTGCTAAAGCCAGTGGGATAAGTGCAAGAAGCACTTGAGGGAGAGTTGTAATCATGATTGTCGGATTGCGCGTCTTTCGTGTGGTCGATGGAGGATCCGGAAGTAGAATGGTGGCTTGTGATACTTGCAGATGTCGATAATTCAGTCGTACACTACTTCAATGGAGAGAAGGCCAAAGAGGGAAGATAATATTTACACCGCGCGACGGTGCGCAGAGAAAAAGAGAGAAACGAAGAAGAGAAGATGGACAAGAAGAAGCAAAAGTAAAAGCAGAGTTTGAGGAAATAGAATGGAGTAGAGAATATATCTTCAAAGCAACGTCAACAAATGATTAATACCTACCTATCGCACCTGCAGGATTTAAAGTGGAAAAGATACAAACCTTATCACCTTTCCAGCAGCTCGCATTGGCCAGAACTTGTGAACTTCTTCATTCCAAGGCAACGGTCAGATAAATGAATGGCATGAATTGATTTTTGATCTAGATCCTTTTTCCAAGTCGACGTCATTCTACATAAAAAGATGTGGATCATGGTGATGAAACATGAAGCTATTCAGGATTTGATTTTAATTGGCTGTGGATAAGATAAATATGGAATGTGGCTTAATTCCATCATGTATTGCTGGGGTTGATTGGGCTCAAAGGTTAAATGGTACCCACTACATACCCGCTGAGAGAAAACAAGCACCAGCCACCCGATACCATGGTTTTGTGTACGGAGTCGGTCCCCAAGTAGGTATGGTGCATGCGGTGGTAATAATTGTGTTCATCATTTAATGAATGCATTTAATGTATTTCATTTAATAAATGACATTAAATGAAATATATAAAGATATTATTCATCATCTATCATTCATCATCTATCATTCATCATTCATCATCTATCATTCATCATTCATCATCTATCATTCATCATTCATCATCTATCATCCATCATCCATCATCCATCATCCATCATCCATCATCCATCATCCATCATCCATCATCCATCATCCATCATCCATCATCCATCATCCATCATCCATCATCCATTCAAGCGATCATAGGCTAAAATGTGCGACAGCAAAGTAGCTATAGCTTCTCCCGCCTTTTCCATATTTTCATCCTCTTTACTTTGCTGTTCAAGACGATGGCGATGGTGCCAACAGGATATGGGAAATGGGCTAAAGTAATTGAGGAATGGTATAATTTTCAATGTCTGCATAATTGGCTTGAATCTTTAAATTATGTCAAAATGACAAGGTCATTCATTGTCCACTAGTTTTTGGCCAACGGCAACGACAAAGTCATTCGTGATATCTTCAAGAGGATAAATTAGGGCATTCAGTCAAAGACAGCATGATTCAAGAGTCACAATGTAGAAACTCGCTGCATCTTTTTTTTTCACTACAGTACCTATTCCACATCAACCATTGGCCATATTCTCAAATTTACACTCCACAAACCTTCCCTGATAGATGCACAACAAGTTCTTTCGAATTTTTGCCATAAATGTTCACTCCTCAAAATTTTCAAAGTCCCAAATTCCAGGTTTTTCGAGCCATATAGTTTCCTAAATCATTCGCTCTTAGATTCGTGGTCATACTTATTGATGTGACGATGAAGCTCTCTCTCGAAAATAAGTGACTGTGGGTTTGGCAAGCTGAGCCGTTGAAATCGTTCTGTCACTATCGTACGACAGATCATCGACTACTACCAATTCTGTAATATATTTTAGATGTCGAAGATCTCTTTCAAAGAATTGCAAGAGCTTTTGCTTAAATATCTCCAGTTCCGGGAAACTGTTTCCATCCTTTTCGGGGCGCAGGACCAATTTTCGTACATTGGGGCAGATAGCGTTAATGATGGGAACGTAAATCCGCAAGCTCTCCACAAGACAATCGTTGCAAAAGTGTCCTCTCTCGCATTGATGACAGCGAACTTTGCCTGAGAACTGCAGAGTATGAAGGAGGGCTGCATTTCCGGCCCCAATTGTGTACAAAAATCGTAGGAAAGGATCATGATAAACCCAGCCTGCTAAATTCTTGATGGTCACCCGCTTCTTGATGTTTCTAATACCTCTCTCGATGCGGGCCTTGAAGATTCTAGACGAATTATCCTCAGCTACGAGATAAGGTTTGTCCACAGGTGGTCTCCAAATTTTGTTGCCCATCCAAGTCGGAGGACTCCCCTCGAAAGTTGAGTTATTGGTGCCGAAGGTATAGCAGTTAAATCGATATAACAAACTTCCTCCGGCGTCTTTCCAGGCTTTGCATACTCTGAGACATGTCGCGTCTAATTCGCTTGTGTAGACCTTTCGCAGTACCATCAAACTACCCTCTTGAGTTTGAGTGATCATACCAATCTCCGTCATTGTGTATGCATCAATATCCTCACCGTCTTTGTGAATTTTGTAGTGCGGTGAGCCGGTGAAGCATTTTTTCCAATTGCTTGTTGCGACAACGGGAGCGAGTGCGCCATCAGAAATTTCCAAGAGGTTGCTTAATATGTTGTCGATGATTTCTAGATGAAAGGTCAGTTACATATTCAAACAAGTTTTCATGGAATCTTATGACATGTATGTTCAAATTGAACAAACACAGCTGAATGCAAAGGGAGCATAATTCACCCCTGATACATGATATGTAGTTGAATATTTGGATGTTGATATAAAGGCAAGCCAAGAAAACTAGACTTGAAAGTTGAAAAGGCAATTATAGTACGACTTACCTGGCGGGAATTTCGAAAAATGGCGGCCATGGGTTTCTGGCAAGCACCACTCTCCTTCACTTCTGTGCCGGGTGCCCCTCGTGAAAGCTCTCCGATTTTTGCTTGTGTGGTCGATGTCCTTGAGCGCGTGGCGATGTGGGGCGATGCAGTATTTTCGGTGTTGATCGTCTATGCGTTCTTTATACCATGAATAGCAAAAATCTTTACGCAGACCGATATCTGCACAATGTTAGTTAGGTTCTTAAGAAATTTTTTGTTACGTACCCTTTGCAATAATACATTTTTGTCCATCCTTGAGGAAGATGATATCCTTGAGCCAGTTTTCCGTAACATAATCTTTGAGCATGTCGTTTTCACTACCATCTGTATCATAACCCCGGCGAAGTGCTTCTGACATTGCCTTTTCTTGTTTTAGGTCTTGTTCACCAAGCTTGATGATTCGGTTGAGGAGAATATTATCAAGGTGGGACGGCTCCCACTCCTTAGCCCCGGAAAGATCTCCTTGACGCTGTAAAGGAGCCATAATGTATGAGTAGTGCAAAATAAAATGACGGATATTGCTGTTGAATATGTGGAACTAGTTGAGAGTAGTGGTAAGAAGATGGTTCTTGATTTTCTTGTAAGTTAGATGTGTTGTGCTATGAGTAGAAAACTTGAAGGCCTAGGCTGGTATATATTATAGGAATATTTCAGTACGGCAGCTTAGCCGTAAACTTTCCAAATGAAATTAGATATCATGAATACAAGATGTTTATTTATCTATACAGCAGAGCGCCAGTCTTGGAAACTTGACAAAGCAAAACGAATACATGTTCTAAGCAGGGTACGGAACTTGAAGCTGATTAATATTCTAATACGATTTGTTTAAATAAAAATTTTCAACATAGATGTCTGCAAGCGAAAGCTAGAAATCTGATGCGTACCTCGCTTAGGGATATCGTTGGAGTTAATTATGATTATGCACTTATATAAATTAAATGATTGCAAAACACCCAGGTTAATACAATAGACTTATGGATATTTTCAAGAAATCAGGTTCAAGCAAATATTTCAATTACAAGTACAGGCTCGGAGCTCCTTGAGATGTGAAAAGACTTTCTTATCTCTACTTTAGAGATGGTTCAGGCTATCGAGTTGTAAGATTTATTTGCTTCTATGTTCAGTTATTGAACTTCTTGGTGACGGTTATGCGCCCTGACATTCCACCCCCTAGGACTTCACCGCCATCACCCGAAAACTACGACTTTCCCATGACTAGACATCCAAGATATATTCGTGCCTAGATTTAAGAAACCCAACGAAAATAAGTTCCTATCCTCCTATATGCATAACCTTTAAACATTCTTTTTAATATCCCGTCTGAGTTCGAAAAGGGCCGGGACGCCTACATTGAAGGTTGACGTTGTTGTGAAAAATGGATGATTGGGAAAACCGCGGCCTCGAAAAGAAAATCAGTGTTCCTCCTATTGTTTGCTGCACTATATGCTACCCCTAAGTACCATCCAATTCTCGGTCAAGTGCTGTTGATGACACTACAACAAAATGATGGGTTGTTCTTCATCACCATTCAAATTGAGTCCGCGGCGGCGAGAGCGACGTGCCCACCAAATAACAGCACCAAGAATCGCTGAGACTACGATGTACATGATTATGAACATGCACAAGGTTTCATCCTTGGAAGATCCGCTGTGATCCATTTGTCGAAATATAACAGTGTGAATAAGACTTAACGCAAGTCGTGCATATATAAATTTATATTTCTTCTGAAGTGGGTTGATTTTGAATGATTTTGTAACTGGGCGAATCTTTCAAGGTTATATTATATGAGATACAGATTTGAGAAATTCTTTTTTTCAAAGTTGCATTTTGTGTGTGGTGTGTTGCCCTAATACTAAAAAAACTAAAGTAGTTAGTTTCCACGAGCTAATCAGACGCCGACTTCCTCGAAAGGAACAAATGCATTATTGGAAATACTTCATCTCAAATTTTACAATAATAGCAGCACATCTGTAGTGCCATGATTCATGAATACTTCGTTCTTGACACCCAATGTCAAATGATGGTTTTCTATAATAGCATGATTGGAAAACCTCATGCTCCTGCAACCATAAGCCTAGTTTAGTCCTCCTTCAATTCAAAAGCCGAATTCATAGGCTTTTGGACAAGGAGAGCAGAAACTGGCCACCGGATAGTCTGTCGAGTATGCTATGTTAGTACGATTCCTTCGAGAAATCGATATCGAGCAATATGATTTGACTACATGGCAGTGATTTCCTTATCGATATTAATTCGAAAGTTTGGCATTCTCTTCCTAGAACCATACATCTCAATTATATCATTAGTCGAAGTTGCAAGCGGACCATCAATTTCACTGAATCTTATAAAATATTGACTCGTACTTATACAAAAATATATACAAGAAGTTTCGGGAATTTTCAAGCCTCTGATAAAGGGTGTGAGATTTCACTGATATAGGATGGATCTCTCAACTTGCAGGATGGGAGGGCAGTAGCATGGGGTTTTTGAAATGCTGGGATTGGTTCTGATCTATATTTTTATATCTGGCTTCGAGGGCCTATGTTGTGGTTAGGCTGCGCAACAGGGCTCCGCGGAGCGGATTATTGCTTATGATAAGTAACCCGTAAATAATCCATTTGCGAGATAAGTAATTGAAGAATCTAAATAGATAATCTATAAATTATTTGTAGATTATTTGTGGATATCTATAAATTCGTAGATAGTCTATAAATAGATAAATTATCTATAGATTATTTGCAAATGATATTCCCTTAAATTTTTGAAGATATTCCTAAATTTTTTATATTAATTTTTATAAATTATATCTATTTTATACAAATTGTATTTAATTATGAATTAACAGATTATCCACAGATAATCTGTAAATAATCTATATAGTGTATGTTATTTTAAAATTCTAATAAATAATCTGTAGAGCGGATTATTTGCGGATATCTGTAACCCGCGGGTTATTTTTGTGCAGCCTAGTTGTGGTAGCTGATGTTAAAGCCTAGTTCAAAGTATACCCACCAAGGGGATGTAAAAATGATGAGAATTGGCCAAGCGCTGTTGTGTGCTGTTATGTATGGTCCGAAAGTAGGGTACTAGACTATACTCTATCTTTCGTCCAACCCTATTGTATTCTACTAATGCTTATTATATTAGACGGCACAACTGTTCGCAGAATGTCAGGGTGAAACCTCTAGAAGGTATTTTCAATAATGACTCAAACAGTGTCCATGTATCTTTATGAAAGCCATCAAATATGGAGCGAAAATTAAGGGTGTTTTTCTAGAAACATTGCATTTTGAGGTAGACGTCATTCACTATCTCCAACTTGACTTCTAACATGTAGAAAACAGGTATCATAACATTGAAAAGGGAATAAGAAACAGAAAGATACTCGGTGTCTCAATTTCCAATTTGCATGGCCTAGATTATCCGGCCTGATTTGCCCATTTGCTCGACCCTGTGAGAACAGCAATATCAACATGTTTCTACCAATGACAAAAACCATGCTCTACAATCAGGACTCCCTAGCACCATAGAAAGTTGTGGAAAAAGTAGAACATATAAGCAGCCCACCTGACAGTCTAAGAATTCTTAAGTTGTCGAATTAAACATTAGCACAGATCAAACATAGTCCTTGCCCTGTACACCCATTCCCCAAGGATCGTGACTTCCTATTCCATCTTCGCTTCTTCTATTGTAATCCGCAACACTTACTACTGTTTCATGACCCCAATTAGATCCTTTATCCAAGCGTGTACTATTGCTTCCAGGCGCATTACCCATTTCCCAACTGCCGGCTCTCTCGTGCTTTACGGTAGCACCAACTCGAGGTTCATGAACTATATTAAGATCTGTATCTGAAGCGAGTTTCTCCGGACCTTTAAATCCTCCACCACCAGCGGATGAGCCCCGTTTCAGGATGCCGACTCCTCCCACGGAATGCGTGAGCTTCTTCTCACGGTATTGCATCCTGAAGCCAAGGAGTGCAAGTATCAAAGCAACTAGAATCAAAACTACCAGAGTGACAATCGCACCAATGATTCCACCAACCACACCATTTACCGCTTTTGATCGTAAAACGTTACTATTTTTTGGATCGGAATCGGAAGACTCGTTACTGAGAATTGCCTCGCAGAACAAAGAAATGGAGGCGCAGACACTGCACCAGTCGCTTAAATCGTTCATGGCGAAATTTCCGATCTCTGTTACAAAATCATTGTACTTCATGTCCACCTCCGAATTGCCGAGGTTAAAAAGGGGGTAAGATATTAGAGGGTCGGTATTTGAAGTTCCGTTTCGGAATATAAATCTTACCCATAACTCATTCGCATTTGGGAAATGAGTTGATGAATCGTATCGTCCTTCCTCAACATAACTAAACAACTCGAATGCCATTACACTTCCGTAGTCCGGAAACATAGAGAAGCGTCTTCCTGTGACATCCGAAGTTGAGAGAGATGAGAGATAAAAGAACGCTAACATCGGCTCGTAAGACCCGAAATAAAGAGATAGCTTGTCGCTGATCCCAGAACTCGAGATGGTCTGCTGGAACTGTTGAATAATTTTCGATGCGAAAGTCTGACCAGCGATATATTGAATACTGGAGCCAGTGCTTGGTGTATTGAAAGAAATAGCTTGCTCTGACGCAAAACCATTCAGCGTTTGCAAAAGACCGAGAGAATTGGGCATGTCGGCTATAGAACTGTTATGGTTATACTGATAGAGGGCGTGGTAGTAAAGATCGATTGCGTTTCCATAGTTAATCATAGAGGTATCAATGCCAGCGAAAAAGGTATTGGCAAGAGAGAGGTAAAAATACTCAGTGCTAGCAATCAAAGATGTTGAATTATGGGATGTCTTTGTAAACTCCGTTGCAATATCATAAGTTCTACATTGACCATTTCCTGCAATCCTTGGAAAAAATCAGCGGATATTCTACAAAGAGCGAAAAAGACCAACACAAAAGAGAGGAGTGTCTACCAGATATAATTGTAATCCATTTCACCCAACGAGTTGATGTTGGGATACTGATAACCACCAAGAGGATAGTTGATAACTGAGCCATTGGCTAGTACCTGCTCCCGCGCAATTTTTAAATTTAGTAATTGGCCAAAGTGGTACAGAAATACCAAGAGTCGGGAGACGGGAACAAAAAGCAGGGGCAGATTGAGATTGAGATATAGGACATACACTATCCGTTCCCTGTACTCCTCTCACAGGAGGATAAAGCCCCTGCATAAAAGCTTGAGCACTTGCAACCACATACTCATCACCTGTACTCCATACTTGTAGTTGGTTATTGATGATATATTGATCGCTTAGGCCATTGATTGGTTGTCCAAGAGTAAGCTGAGTTGCGGTAGAATTTAGGTAACGGTCGCGGATGATGGATCCAGAATTATAAAGCTGAGTAGCCCCGAGAGGAGTGAGAGTAGGAGTAGTAGCATTGACGATTGTAGGTGTAATCTCCCCATAGTATGTATAAACAACCGAAGACCAAGTTATCGGCACCATGTTTGATTGCGCGTTGATGAGTGAGATTGAGAGAAGCAGAAAAAGTGTAGTAAACAATGTCATTTCGATGGTGATTCTGAGGGCAAGGCATATAACGAAGCTATAATGTGCCAATTGATTTTGTAAATCTATATTTGATCAAAAGTATCAAAAGTAGTCCTGTCACCTAGATTTCGCATGCAACAGTTAAAGCCTTGAGGAGATCTCTTCCAGAATGTCTCGACTTTAGTGCTAACTTCCCAATAAAGACCTAAATTGAAACAACTGTGTCGTCATTTATCGTCATGTTAAAATTCTTTATGCACCTTAAGATTTCTCTTTGTGCCAGGGCTTTTCCCCTGGTCTAAAGCTTCTTAAAATCGAGTTCGCGATAAGCTTCAAAGCTGGGTGCGGTAGGTTACGGAATGCGGGGTAAACTTTTGAGGTTTCGTTTGCGACAATTTTCACGATGAAATTAAATCAATTACATAGTAATGTAAAAATGAGTAGAAATATAGTCTCTAAAGCTCAAGCAAAGACTCGTCCTTACATAGCATTATTCATTCTGAAGCCCTGAGCGAAATGATGAGAAGCTGTAGCTCCAATTATATCTTAGGTGTCAACCAGATACCACTTCTCCTGATCTTGTATCTCTTCGCTCACTCGAGCTACTCGACTGAGATGACTGCAGTCTGCAATTAATGACAAGATGCAGTTTCTAAATCGGGTGTAATTTACTCAGTGAAAAGAAGAGAGAGAGGTAGAGCATTTCGCAAAAGACTTGACGCGGAGATGGTGGGTGAATTTCTGTCTTTACTTTGTAAGAATTCTGGAATCTACTCACCGCACACCATTCAAATTCGTGACAAAATCCCTGCAAAAATCAAATTTTCTTATATAAAATAAAATATCGAATAACTTTTTCAATATTGAATGAAATCAAATAAAATTTTCAAATATTATAATTAACTACAAAAGGATATCAAAAAAATTTATAATTTATTTTTAATCATTTTTGTTCTAAAATTATATCTATTTAAATTTAAAAAATATTAAAATTTCATTTGTATAATGTTTTTTTGAACTTTTTTTTATATAAAATAAGCAATTTTTTTAAACTTTTTCGTTTTTTCAATTTTAAATATATATAACTTTGAAACAAAAATAATAATAAATATTTCGTTAAATTTTTATTATATTTGAATCAATTATTTATATATATATCAATTTTTATATATTTATTTTATTATTTTATAAAGATAACAAGGGTTTAAAAAGTTGAAAAAATCGTTGATTTTGGTGTGATTTCGCTTAGTGTGCGATGAGTAGATTCCAGAACTCTTACCTTAATTTTGCTGTCCTTGTGCCGTTTTAATTTGTGGCTGTCTACCTGGATAGAAGTGGAAGGTCTTTGTGGAATGATCTGAAGCTTATGCTGACTTCGAAAGAATATTTAGTAAGATCTTATATGAACACGGATTAATTCTGCAATTGCCAGTATTGTAAGATTAATGCTTTTGTCTGATTCTCTTGTAGATTCTCGCATAGATCTGCCAACAGAATAATCGTACCTCAAGTCGAACAGGATTTGAATACCAAAGACCACCATATAGTAGAACGGAATGGGTATCGATGATTTAGATCGTAGAAAAAATTGATCTTATGGAAAACCATGGACCTTAGAGGCTTTGCTCTCTCGGAGCTCCTTGAATGAAAGAATTTTTGAGTGCACTGACACTCAATAATCGCTCTTTCAACTTATCTCAATCCCTCGACTCATGGAACCTTTAAAAATGGAGTAGATAGCTTTGTATTCTGAACGATTTAGAAGACAGGAAAGGAAATAAATCTAGCTTTTCTGCCCTCGAGATTACAGCCATATACGGTTAGGGGCACGCATGGGTGCAGATTGGCCAGTAATTATTCGATTGTACATATTTGTGGAAAAGCAAACATTGTAAGAGCGAAACAATCACTGTCGTTCAATATTTCTTGGGTATTTTAATTTCATTCGTACACGCTAGAACTATCAAAGAACCGAAACCCAGGGCTATTATTGCCATAAATCCCCCAAAATCGTACAAGCTGAGAACCCTTTTACACATTAAAAATCTTTCAACCGAAAAGAGCATCACCCAATCTGATTCTCACAGACTTGGTTTGCGTGTAGTTGCTCAAAGCTGCCTCGCCCAATTCACGTCCAATTCCCGACTCCTTGTATCCACCGAATGGTACTTGGTGGTGAAGCATATTGTAGCAGTTAACCCAAACTGTACCCGCCTTGAGAGAATTTGATACACGAAGAGCAGTGTTGAGGTTTTGTGTGTGAACGGCGGAGGCAAGACCGTAGTTGGAGCCATTACCGATTTTAATGATTTCCTCCTCGGTGGAGAATTTAGCGATGGAGCAAACTGGTCCAAAAATCTCCTCTTGCATAATCTTCATGTCTTCGGTGACATCGGAGAAAATTGTGGGTTGAATGAAGTAACCTTTGTCACCGTGTCTCTCACCACCAGTAACAACGGTGGCGCCAGCCTTCTTCCCCTCATCAATGTAACCCATGATACGGTCATATTGGAGTTGGGAGACTTGTGGACCTTGGAATGTTTCGTGGTGGAATGGGTCTCCAACCTTGTTGGCAAGAGCACGAGCCTTGAATCTCTCAACGAACTTGTCATAGATACCATCTTGAACGTAAACTCTTGAACCAGCACAACAACATTGTCCGTGGTTGTAGAAAATACCAAAGTTGACCCATGAGATGGCATTCTCAATATCAGCATCGTTGAAAACAATGTTTGGTGATTTACCTCCAAGTTCAAGCGTGACCTTCTTCAAGTTGGATCCAGCAGCAGCTTTCATGATTTGACGACCAACAAGGGTAGAACCAGTGAAAGCAACCTTGTCAACGTCCATGTGAGATGCAATGGCGGCACCAGCAGTCTTACCGAACCCGGAGATGACGTTGATCACTCCTGGTGGGAAACCAGCCTCCTTAACTAAGGTTGCGGCGACAAGCGCGGACAGAGGAGTCTGTTCGGCGGTCTTAATAACGACAGTATTACCAGTTGCGACGGCGGGACCGATCTTCCATGACCACATGAGTAGTGGGAAATTCCATGGAATAATCTGACCGCAAACACCAATCTAGGAATTGTTAGCAACTGAATTATGTGCGAAGAAAGAGACGACATACTGGCTCTTGTTTTGTGTATGTGAAATATTCTGGGTCGGTGTCGATAACCTTGCCCTCAATCTTATCTGCCCATCCACCATAGTATCTCAAACATCCAGCAACGGCGGCAACATCGCCCTTTGCCATTGAGATTGCCTTTCCATTGTCCAAAGATTCGACAGCCGCTAATAGATCGGCATTCTTCTCGACCAAATCTGCCAACTTAACAAGTAGTTTACCCCGAGCTTCTGGTGTAACATGTCTCCATGCTCCTTCATAAGCCTTTCGTGCAGCTGCGACAGCAATATCGACATCTTTTTCGGTGGCTTCATGTACGGAAGTGATCACTTCCTCGGTGGCAGGATTGATAACTTCAAAGGTCTTTCCGTCAACACCTTTAACCCATTCATTGTTGATAAACCTGTGACGATGAAAAATCTTGTTAGCATGCGTCGTTGCGGCGTAGACGTTCCCGACATGTTGGAATGCGGGGTAAAATAACCTACAATCCAGTGGGCTGGGTATAATCGCCAGTGAGTGGCGTCTTGAGCTGAACTGAAGTCATGATGGATATTATATATGTGATTCAATGAAAAGTAATTGCTTTGGGTATGATTATCGTGGATTTGGATGAGATTGTGCAAAGATGAGGAAGAGTGAAAGAGAAAAGATGGGAAGAGCAGGTGGAGGGGTCGGGTCATGGGGGTTTTAAGTAGTCCGTAGTAATGAATGGGTCGCCCCTCAGTAGATACTCGAGTATCATTTATTGAGCGCAGATCTAAGCTAAATCCGAAATCCTAAAATTCTAAAACCTAAATCTACTAGGTAGTTATCTAAAATCCGAAAGGAACCTTGAAGAGAAGAATAGGAAGGAGGCACCAAACAAAAATTGGCAACTACCCAGTACACCTACCTAGTACACTGTATCGTACAGAGACCAAAGGTTGTCCGTTGGCACCAGGCTTCTGTTACAATTGGTCAAGATTGATGAGACGCGGGGTTGTTGAAAATATCAAAAGATAGACTGCTGGTAAATCTCTGGGCGGTGCTGTTTCGTCGTCCCACTCAGATTGATTGGAATCGGGTGGAAAGGGGGTGATGAAGTGATTTGTTATTTATTTTTAGGTCTTCGGAGAAAGACACGATTGAGTGAGTACCATCCCTTCGTACCTAGGTAGTCTGCACGGAGTGATGTGCGCCACCACCTTCAGCTAGAATGATGAATGCAGTATGATGTTACTTCAAAAAGGCTAAGGTAAGATCTACTTTGGAACCCCCCATTTTCGGCGGCATTAAGAGTATCTAATTGTTCATCGTTCTACACTCTGTAATTATTATACAATTATATTACTTATTTTAATATTTACTTTAGCACTAATAACAAAAATTACTATTTTCTTTTCATCTATTCAATCACCACACATGTTCACCTCTTGTTATTATTTTTTAATTATATATTACTCACTTTCCCCAGGCCTAAATCAACCGGGTTAAACCCATTACGGGATAAGTGTATTTATATGGCACCCCTCCTTTACAAAGTTAGCGCCGGGTACGGAAGGTCTAATCCCATCCCGTGATCCATCTTATCGGTGTACGGATTAATGCTTTTCGGAGATAGATAATCATACGAAGCCTTTCATCCCGTGCGGTCAGAAAGTTGTACAACTCCGGCTTAGATTTGGCGGGGGAAGCCCATAATAAAGCTTGTGAAATCAATTTCTTGTAAGTCTGTTTTGAAACTCTAAATACCTAGCTCTATTCGTGAGGACTAAACTTGTATGGCGATACATTTATAGATTTTTAATAAATCACTTCCAGTATTTATTTTGGAAATTCAGTAAATAATATGATATACCAATTTATCTAGCGTCTTTTATGCTGCTCCGCCCCCACAATTTCACTGCAAACACCTAATCCCTTACTCTAACTAATCACTCGGTCAATCGGGACATTACAACTTTGATACCCCACGAGTTGACCTCGGTCCTTGGAAGTTTTTATCTTTCTCCGCATTTTCGTGGCATTGTTCTCGCGATGATGATTTCTGGGGAGCATTGAAGGCATTGTAATGGTTGAACATTATCACCGATAAAGCTTGATCAAAATCGGCGATAAATTTTATATAGCCCTTGGGAAAGGTTAAAACAGCCCAGTCCTACCCTGGAAGCTGTCTGAGAGCTGGGGATACCACACGGGGATACATGTCTTTTTCGAAAAAGGAACTACCCCACCATCAAAAGTTGAATGGCTGTAAGGTTACTCTGCCAGCTTGGCAAGTGTCACCGCAGATGGTTTCTAAAGTTCGGAAGGAATAGCATCTAGATTTGACATCAACAACCGTACCGGGCCTCAACGTAACTGGTGGGTAGACACGAAAGTATGGAGTAGATGGATATCCTCGACACGAAAAGTTCACGAATTACGCAACTTTAAGTCAGGCCATCATCAGTCAAGTCTTTTATCGATGGTTTGCAGAAATACTTGCCTAGTACCTAGTCCTAGTGCCTACTATCAAAGGATTTATTAATCAATGATTAGTACTTGATAACTGATCAATATCTTATATTTAATTTAATTTTTAATTTTAATCATTCAAGTATTATTCTTAGAAATATTAAATTAAAATTGTATTTGAATAAATTTAATTATTCTTATTAAAATATAAAATAAATAAGTATTTTGTTTTAAATACTAATTTAATATATACTATTCTTTCAAACAAATAATTAAATATCAGGAAATAAGTTTTATAAATATTTTATATATTAAAAATTCTAAGTTAATATTTTCTTAATCAGAGGGACTTTCGATAAAGAACATTGATCCTCTGATTGATTTTTCACCCATTAAACTAATTCTCTTACTTCATCTGAAATTAGGTTACTCGTATGCATCCACCATGCTTTGCCCATATTCAATGCAGTTTTCTTTGGACCCAACGATACTACGCTCGGTCAAATTGTGGGTAGTGATTGACAGCTCGGTATACACAGCATACGGAGCATAAGAGACATCATGTTCAAAATTTGATTCAACCAATTCAAACACGGAGGCGGCGAGCATGTACAAGACCAAATCCTATTCATACAACTTTGTATGAATCTAGACTCAATTACGTACTCCGCTTCAGATTCCTATGGAGGCTTACTTCTCATTCATGTACTCATCCCCTCAAGACTCTTAGAGTGATAGTTCGTGTGCTTCCTGACCTCTAATAGCCAACTCATTCCTCGCTATGTATGTTCATTCTAAAATGCGTACGGAGTGCTTTACCATAGCTTCACTTCTAATGTGCAAAATATGTATGGAAAGGCCAAGTTCCTGACAGATGGTAGTTGTGGCAGCAGGTAGATATATGATCAGCGTTATGGAATGAGGTAAATTGATTTATTGATAAGATCTGTCAAGGTTCTCCAATCATGCCATCAACAATTTTCTGTTTGATGAGGGTTGGAGTGGAAAGTGTATCGGTAGAAGGTCCCTCATATCAACCAATTTACCTCAGATTACTTTTGATTTGAGGTGTCATGATGGAATCCTGCAATGCATTTGGGGAAGCATATTCGAGTGTATATCTTGACATTCAAATGGCATTTTCTTATTTACGGAATTCATGGAACTCAAACGAAGGTAGGGGCATGGTTGAGGAGAGCAATTCTACTTTGTCAAATCATTGCTTATGGACAAGATTGAGCATACATACTAGGTACACAAGTATGATGGAGGGTGAACCGGTGCGGGTATTTCAATTCCACATTTTCCACGTTGCAGGATCTCAAAATGTTACTTGAGAATCATTTACTTCGCTGGGGTAGGTAGTATCTACGAGGGAAGCATTCACAGAAGCAGGGAAATGATGATGATGTCAATGTCTTTGCGGTCTTGGTGACTAGGTAACTCTTAAGTTATCTAAATATATGATTTTGGAAGAATCTTGCATACATAACCACTTATCTCTACAAGTTTTTGAGTAGAGGTGATGTAAATGGAGATGTTAATTGACATAATAAATACCTAATCCCTTCCAATTGACAATCTGTCCCCTACATTCCTTCATTCTGTTGAGTGCGTACAAAGTTCTTTCGATATTGTAATGGAACATGAGAAGCATGGTTAAAAGGAATTGCAATTCTGATTCTATGGCAGAACATTGTGTGAAGTTCCCCCTTGATCTTGTCTTCATCAATGGCATCCCCTTTGTGACTACGTATAACCTTCGAAATTGGGTAGGAGCTTCTGGCAATTGACCACTTGATGAAATTAATTCGTTGGCAGATCATGAATTGAAAACATCAAGCAAAATCGCATTATTCCCTCCATAGGTATTGAATATCAACATAACTAACTATCAACATGAGCAAGAGCAAGATCACACCTTCGGAATTAATGAGTTAATGAGTATCGAATATTGAACATAGAATATTGAATATTGTCAAATAATTTTGTTTCTCGGCTTTTTCTTCTGTGTATCTTATTTTTCAGGGTTGGGGTTTTTTTGATTGGGTTCAAAGTTCAGGGCTAGATTATGATGACTAAGTAAATAAAGTTAAGTTCATGACGCTTTAGTTAGATTTTACGAATCTAAAATTCTCTGTAGCGCCTGCAGAATTCATCGTAAAACTTTCAAACGAGGAGCACTTTTCTCCAAATTTCTATGCGACTCCAACCATGGCAGAATCATCTACTAACTCATTAACAATGGCTTCATCTAATAATGGTAAGTTTTTGGACAGAAGACAACGAGGAAGGCCAGAAAGACTGAAAAGGAAACCTTCTCCTGCAAACACGCCACCTCCACCCCACCCCTTCTTTATTTTTACCTTCGTCATTCTAACAAACCGTTCTTTGCAGATGTTCCAATCAAACTCGAACGCTCTCCCAATGCCTCCTCGACTTCGCCCCAATCACCTGGATTGAAACGGAGAGCTTCTTCAGAACAGCTGGATTCACCAGAAAAGAGACAGAGAATTGAATATGAAGCGGCACAGCCTACTCTACCCGAATCTACCCATGGAAATGCAGCTTTTGAACATACGAACGACGTAGACGATTCTCTGGGAGATCTCGATATCGATGCTATCATTGCCTCCGGCGTGGCTCATGTTTCTGCCGAGTATCAAGATGCAGGAAGCATGGGAATGAATGGCCATACCTCTCATCAAGATCATTTACACGAGAGAAATGTCGCCATTGAATCTCCTCATTCCCAGAGTCAATCGCCGAACAATCGGGCCGCCCTTGAACGGCTCCGTACCGATCATCAATTATCTTTGCAGGTGTTAAGTCTATTGTCCTTGGAAAGTTTGGTATGGATATCTCCAAGATCAAACAACATGTACATCTCTAATGTATCTGCAGTCCGTGCAAATGTTAAATATTCTTTCTGAGGGAGGATACGACGATGTAGTCGTCATGGTAACGCAAAGAGACACCCCTCGTGGGCAGTCATTCCAAACCTTGAAGGACCTATTCGATAGAACCAAAAAGATTTACGGCACTTCAACCTTCCTCTCCGCCGACCAGCTCAATTTTAGAGATCCAGCGCAACGAGAGATCATCAGACTTGCAAACCATGCGACATTTGTGACGAGCGTATTTGGCGGACAAGAGGTTGGATTTTATGAACTCAACGAACATTTTGTCGACATCTGGACAAGGGAAGGAGAGCCCATATCAAAAGCATCGGGTCAATTGCTTATGAACTTGAAGACACAAATTATCGTTGCCGCGCTATCAATGGAAGAGTCAGATAGACCTGTCCCAGAGCTCATAGCAGAGATGTTTGGTTCAGAAATCCGCAATTTCCTTGCTCGGAGACATCCCTATCCTCTAACAGATGATGAGCGACAATTACTTCTTGACTTGGAAATCCGACGAGTATATTTAATCAACCAAGGAAATGATCCTGCCAAAATCAGTAAGGATTTGCCCCATATTACTTCCCTCCCACTGACGAATCTGCAGACGAACTCTGTAATCTTTTCAACTGGGAGTCTTTTCTAAGATCCACGCATATTCATATGGACGCATACAGGCCATTAGTCGAACCTTACATGAATAAATATTCTCTGGCAATCCCTACTTCGACTGGGTATTCGCAAGGTGCAAATGGTGGTACCTCGAATGGGAATGCTTTTGCGTATGCTGGTACCAATGTAGAAGCTGAGCATGCAGTTCAAAAAACTCTCGAAGAGGCAGATGTGTATCAGCAATCAAGTATCCCGCAGAATGGTATGCTTAAAATGGAGGATTCATTTTAATATCTGGCTAATTTTGCAAAGGATATCGCCAAGCTCAATATCAGACTACCTATCAGCCGCCCAACCAATCGACAAACACTTACCCAACTCAGTATAGTACTAGTAATACATCTACAACTACACCACATCATTCTCAATCAGAGTCGACATCTGCTCTTTACGAAAAAGCTAGACAAGCTGCAGCGGCAAAGAATAATCCAGGGCAAAAAGCCCGACCTGGATTACCGTCTCAACGTCGTCCATGGAGTACAGAAGAGGAAAATGCTTTAATGGCTGGTCTCGACTCGGTCAAAGGCCCACACTGGAGTCAGATTCTTGCTCTCTATGGCGACAAAGGGTCGGTAAGCACTATTTTGCGTGATAGGAACCAAGTTCAGCTCAAAGACAAAGCGCGGAACCTCAAACTATTCTTCCTCAAGAGCAATATCGAGGTTCCATACTATCTTCAATGCGTAACTGGTGAACTAAAGACAAGGGCACCGACTCAAGCGGCCAGGAAGGAAGCGGAAGAAAGAGCAAGATTAGCAGGAAATGAAGAAAGCGCAAGATTTCATGGTGTCTTGGCACTGGCGTCGGGTATTCAGAATTCAAATCAGGAAAACGGAAGCCGAAGTCCTTATCAACAACCTTCAGAACCTGCAGAAGATTTCAAAAGCAGGAGTAATAGTCCGGAAGTTTTGCATGTTGAGGAACCGGGACGAGCGGAATCGCAACAGGTGGACACTCGTCAACAGACCTTGGAAATGCAGGAAATGAGCGCGGATGAGAGATTGAGGCAACAGTTATTGGCTGCTACTAATAGTCCCTAGTAGGTCGGGACCTTGTGAGAGCTACTTGCATTTAGAGTTATTGAAAGGAATTCATCTTTGGCATTCATGCTTTTAGCCTTATCAGAAATCATATAGAGAATTTTTGCTTTAAACGAATGAGGACTGTATGGTGTTAGTGGTGGAATGAGTATGAGTTGTGTTTCGATAGTTATGGAGGTGGTTTTGAGTCGGTTTAAGTTATAATCTTAGTAGTAAACTTTGTTATATAAATTAATCAGTATTAATCTATACTTTCGTGATTTACTTTTATAATATTTTACTAAGTGATCTTCTCGGCTGGTAGTATGATTGTCGGCTTGCCGACACCAAAACCTTGTTGTACATGTAATGTACTGCAATTTACTCGGTGTAGATTATAGAAAATGAGAAACTCATTTAAATGAATCGCGATCCTGACAATCTGATTGGTCTAAAATACCCCGGTAAATACATGGTAAATACCATAGTAAATAATCTAACAAAAAGCTTGATATAAGCTTTATAACCTCAAACAAATCTGATTTAGAACTTTTTTTAACTTTATTAAAATTATTTAATTCAACTCTATTCATTCAATTCATCTCATTCAACTTATAATAATAATAATAATAATAAGAATTCTGGAATCTACTCACCGCACACCATTTAAATTCGTGACAAAATCCCTGCAAAACTCATATTTTCCTATATAAAATAAAATATCAAATAACTTTTTCAATATTGAATGAAATCAAATAAAATTTTCAAATATTATAATTAACTACAAAAGGATATCAAAAAATTTATAATTTATTTTAATTATTTTTGTTTGAAAGTTATATCTATTTAAATTTAAAAATATTAAAATTTCATTTGTGTAACGCCTTTTGAACTTTTCCCTATATAAAATAAGCGATTTTTTAAACTTTTTGTTTTTCAATCTTAAATATATATAACTTTAAAACAAAAATAATAAAAATATTTTGTTAAATTTTATTATATTTGAATGAATTATCTATATATTTATCAATTTTCATTTATTTATTTTATTATTTTATAAAGATAACAAGGGTTTAAAAAGTTGAAAAAATCGTTGATTTTGGTATGATTTCGCTTAGTGTGCGGTGAGTAGATTTCAGAACTCTTACAATTTATAATTTTCATTATAATAGTATTATTGATATCAGTGATTTATATATCGATTACAAAAGAGGTATGATTTAATTGTTGTTTTCAAAAAGTTTAATTATTTGAATTTAGAATTTCAGAATTCCTAAAATAAGTATTCTAAATAATTATATTAAAATAGAATAAATATTTTAATTAATTAATTATAATAAGATAATTATTTTAAAGGATATTATATTCTAAAGTTGTAATTTTTAAAAGAAAGCTTTTGAGATAAATATTTCAAAAAAGAAAAGGTTTTAGGATCAATTATATAATAAAAAGTTTTAGAAATTTAAAGAATTTTTAAAACTTCAAAAGCTTTTTGAAATGATATTATATAAAATCAAATAATTTTAATATTAATAAAAAAAGCATTATAAAGAGAATAATTTATATTATATTTATAGTAAAAGTAAATATATATTTAAAAATTGTTTTCAAAAGAAGAAATCATTTATTATAAAAAACAGAAAATATGTAAAATTCAGAAATAAAAAATAAAGTTTTTGAAAAGCAGAAATCTTAAAAGAAAATTTGAAGAAAATAGAATTATTAAAGAAACATCTACTTCAATTTAATTTTAAATAATTGAAGGAATTAGATATCAATATTTGAAATCTTAAAAATAGTATTGAAAATAGTATCAATTATAAAAACAAATCTTTGAAAAATCTCAAATTAAAAAATGAAAAACTAATCGAAGAATTCGAAGAATATCAATAATTAATTAAATCTTATCAATTATTTTATGAAAATGAATTATAATATTTAATCAATTATCTAAATAAGAAATATATCTAATATTATTATAAAAAGAAGAAATTAGATTTTGTAAAGGAATATAAAATCTATAATTATTTTATTTTGTTAATATTCTATATAATAATATATAATAATATTTATTATATAATACTGTAAGAAAGTTGGAATTATAAACTAAATATATAAAGGTTTTAATTAGTCAATTATATAACCTTTTGTAATTAGATATAAAAAAAGAGTCTTTTATTTCTTCTTTTTATAATAATTAATCTTCTATATATATATATTTGAATTTATATAACATCAATCTCAAAACCATTGTAAACTCTGTTTTATTTATAAGTGATATATTACAATGTAATCTAATTCAACTTTCTTTTTCAATTCTCTCCTTATAGTATACTATCGAGATGTATATATTACAGAGTAACAGTCAACCTGTCCACATAAGCTTAGGCCCTATCGAAAAGCAAGACGATTTGTATACAATTTGTATAGTAATCGCCTTATATGATCTCTCTACCTTTAGCAAGCTCAGATATATAATCTGATTATAATTATATGATGGATTATAGAATCTAAAAGATTTAAAGAATCATATTTTAGATCTATTAGATCCTTATAATTCAATTGATATAAAGATCTATATAATTAGAAAAGAATTCTTTTTATAAAATTTTATATTTAAGATTAATTATTTAATATATTTTATTATTAATTACAAATTGTAACTATTGATATTATTTTAAAACTTCTATTTGATATCTAATTATAAAACATTCGAGAATCCAGATCATTTCTATATAATCTAGATTACAACCCTTGTAACATTTTGAGTATTATTATTATTTCAAATATCAATTCAACGAAGTAATATTATATCTTTTTAGATCCTTCAATCTAATAATCCAATTTCAATTACTTCAAAAGATATAGATCAAAATGAAGATATCATTATAAAAGAAACAAAAGATTTTAAAAAGATCATTATTATTGAAACCCTCAAAATCGTTTTACTTGATAAGTTTACAAATCATCAACAAAAATTAAAAACCTTCCTATTTCAATTTGAGATCTATTTCGAGTTTAATAAGAATAAATTCTATTATGATATCGATAAAAATATTTGAATTATTTTCTATCTTAAAGAAGAAGCTTTTAAATAGATTCAATTTTATTTTAAAGATTATTTTATCTATTTGAATAATCCTAAAAAACGAATATATCCAATACAGATTATCTTCGAAACATTTATTAAATTCAAAAAGGAAATATAATGAATATTCGAAAATATCAATGAATTATATAATATTGAATTCAAGATTTATAATCTTAAATAAACAAGATTAGTAATAAAGTATATTATAGAATTCAAACAATATATAAGAATTATAAGATAAAAAAAAAATGCTATAATGAATTATTACAGAAAAGGGCTCAAAACGAAGATCAGGTTAGAATTGGATTACAATTGTATTTGAGAAGATCTGAATGAATTAATTGAGGAGTCGATTAAGATAGATGAGATACTTTACAAATATCAAAAGGAATATCGATCTTTTAATTCCTATAGAAATCGAGATTATAATAAGTATTATAAAAATGAAGGAAGATTTCGAAATCATTGATAATTGTATAGAAATCTAATACAATTGAATGTAATCTTTAAAAACAAATTATTTAAAAAGGAGATAGATCGAAGATAAAAGAATAAATTGTATTTTGAATATAACGAATCGGGTTATCAATCCAAAAATTATCGAAATAGGAAATCACAAAGCTAAAAAGGATATTATAAAAAAGTTAGATTTGGAAAAAACTAATTCAATATTATTTTTTTATTTCTATTATCTATATTCGATATAATCGAAGATGATAATTACGAATGAGAATAATATCAAAAGGAAATTGATATAATATCTTGAGATTAAAAGAATCTGAATAAAATAAATCGATATAAATTGAAATATTTCTGAACTCTATTACTTTCCTTAATCAAAGAAAATCCAAAAGAAATATTATCGATAGAATATACAACGATAAATTAAATAACTTATTATAATAATTCTTATAGGATTCATTTATCAAATAAAAAAGCTATAGAATAATTTCTTTATAAAAGAAGGAAAAGAATTATTTCGTTATATAATCATCAAAATAATTAATTATACGAAATTAATCAAATTGATCAAATCAACCAAATTGATCAAATCAATCAAAACAAAACTATAGATCAGAAACAATTAAATATTATAAATCAGATAGAATAGATTTATTATAATATCAAGATAAATGAACAAAAAATCTAAATTATAATCGATTCAGGAATTATAGGAAATTTTATTGTATTAGAAATTATGAAGTATTTGGGGATACAGTTTTAAGTGAAACAAATTCTATATCAATTATAATTAATTAATAAATAACTAATAGAATTGAATAATAAGATTTCACAAAAAACTTATTCAATATAAATAAGTATGAACTAATATAAAGAGATTATCCAATTCGATATTATTCTATTAAAAAATCAACAAATCATTTTGAGAATATTATGATTAAAGATATATAACCCTAGAATTGATTGAATTATTGAAGTTATAAATTTCCCAAACAAAAGTGATCATTATAATATATTAAAGCCTACAAAGCTGAATATATATAATAAGGAATTGAAAGTAAACAATATCATCGATATAAAATATCCAATCTAGGGTCCTTTATTAACAATAAAGAAAGATGAATCTTTTGTATAAATGAAGAATAAACAAAAGAAATTATTTGATATTATCTTTATATAAAAATAAAAAAGAATATTAATATTAATATAATATCAAAAATATAAAAAGTTATTCGAAAAAAGAAAAAATTATAAAGTTTTATTAGAATACAAGTTATAGAATTATAAGATAATATTAAAAGAAAACAAAATGTTTTTATTTGAATTAATCTATCAAATATCAGAATTGGAATTAAAAATGTTTAAGAAATGTATCAATAATATATTAAAAAAGGGTTGAATTAAAGAATCAACTTTATAAACAATTAGTTTTGTATTATATATATTTAAAAAAGATAATATTAAGAGATTATATATAGATTATTATAAATTCAATGATATAACAATCAAGGATTGATATCTATTTTCATTAATTATGGAATTAAAAGATCAATTGGAAAAAACAAGGATTTTCTTTAAGTTTGATTTAAGAAATGAATTTCATTTAATCAGAATAAAAAAGATAAAAATAGAAAACAGTATTCAGAACTCGATATGAATTATATAAATATTAGATTATACTATTCGGATTAATTAATATATCAATAATATATATATGATTAGTTAACAATATATTAAAAGAATATCTGAATATCTATTATATATATTATTTAAATGATATCCTTGTATTCTTTGAAATAAAGGAATAATATATATTGGATATATATAAAGTATTAAAATATTTGAAGAAAGTAAATCTTCAATACAAATCTAACAAATACAAATTCTATATTATAAAAACAGAATTCCTAAATTATACAATCTTTTCAGAAAACTTCAAGATGAATCTTAATAAACTAAAAACAGTTCAAAATTGGGAATTATCGAATAATATAAAAGAGATACAATCCTTTTTAGGA